TTGCTTAATATTGTTTATAGAAAAAACATTATACTTTGTTGGAGTTCCTAATAGACTTTTAAATAAAATTTAAAAAGCCTTATAGTTTAAAGTAATGTCTATAAAATAAAAATGTTAATAAAGTGACGAAATAACATCATAAATAAATCATGATAATGATGATTTATTTTCTTTACACATAACACATTGTTTCTAGGTGTGCAATCACTGGGGCTAAATCATGAGTGTTAACCATAAGTATGTTGGTGCCAGCCATGATTCCTTTGTGTGGGATAACAGTCTAGTTAACCAGTACATGCAGACATTGTACCAAAGTAGCTCACTTTGGTACAATGTCTGCATGTACTGGTAGGCTAGGTAAGTTTCTACATGTAAATAAAATAGGTTAACTATGTAATATGCTCATATTATCTGCTACTAACTAACTGTTAACTATAACTAAAGGTCACAGACACTATTGTAATTCTAGACATTTATTTCAAATGCAAACTTGTTGTATCTGCAGGTGACTCTGGATACCCACAAAGACCGTGGCTGATGACTCCATACACTCAGCCAGACCCTGGTTCTGCTGCAGACACATACAACAAGGTACACAGCAGTGAAAGAGTTATAATTGAGAACACCTTCAGACGCCTGAAGAATAGGTGGAGGTGTGTGTGCAAGAACAGAGTTTTGCACTACAAACCCGAAGTGTGCATTAATGATAGTGGCTTTCTGTGTGCTGCATAACTTTTAATGTACCTGAAGCGGTTATGGAACCCACAGGTACCTTATCAACTTATTATTCCTTTATTTTCTTGTAAATCAATAAGTAGAATTTAAATGAAATCAATGTTTATAATTTCATTTTATGTATGATAATTTAAAGTCAATTTGTATAGGGAAAGCTGTTTTAATTACTACAAAATATAATAATAAATATAATCTCACAAGATTAATTTTCTAAAAGAAAATTTTTCATGTGAGTATAATGTATGCTACATACTTACTAAGTTTAAGCCTCCATGACAGAGGAAAGCTACTTAGAGAAAAAATGGTCCAACTAATACCACTAAAGTGACAATGTTACAATTTATTTTATATATTTCATTCGATTATTTTCAAAAGCGTATTATTCCTCAGCAAATTTCATAGTTTGTGTTTCGTTTCCACAGGTCACGAAGCTTTCGCCAGGGTGGAGTCTATTCCGCAAGAAGACGGTTCCCTTTTAACTTTGGGCCAATTAATGCGTGATCGCGTAGCCAGTATAGTGCATATTGTCCGTTTTCATTTATTAATATACACATAAATAAAAACATTTGTTTTATTTCCTACATATTTATTGTATAAGTATTACATTCGTTAGCCTATTTCGCTTCTAAGAGAAATATAATCAGCGACACTCTAAAATGGTTAGTATAATTAATTAACAATTGACTACAACATTATGAAATAATAAATGTTATTTATTACTATAATAGAGGATAATAATAAAGACAAAATAAAGACAGTAACACATTTTTAAAGATAATGAAAAACAAAAGAATAAAACTAAACAAATTTTTTTAGATAAAAAACTTAACAAATAAATAATTTTTGGCTTAAATTCTTATAAAAAGAAATAAATAAACGGTAGGTGATTAACTAACAATTGACACATAATAAAATGTTAAGTACTAATTTTATTCCTATATAACCATTGCTGTCTCTATCAACTTCAAATAATTAAATACAATCTGCACATGCAAGAATAATTAGAATAACCAAGTAGTACCTAATACATCTATTTACCTTATCTACCATGCAATATCTTTAATTAGTTACTATTTAGTTAATAATAAATTACAGCTAATATATATAAATATATAAAATAATTACCTAAATTATAATTGAGAAAATATCTATTAATAATAAATAAATAAATATATTAATAATAAACAAAATTAATATAAATCTACTCATAAATAATATCTACTTCAATATCTAAATATAAGATTTATTCCTTAATTTCAATATTATGATTTAAAAAAAAAAGCGCTTCATCCTCTCCTCTAAAAACTAACTTGCTGTGCTCGATTACAGAGAAACAATTATGGACCGTGGTCCATAATTGTTTCTCTGTAATTTACCTACCAGCCTTGTATACATTATGGAATGCAATAAAGTATTGAGTATTGAGATTGAATGTGATGAGGAAATAATAGACAAAAACAAAGACTGTAACAAATTTGCCAAAGAATAAACAAAACAAAATTTTGATGATAAAAAACCCAACAAATAAATTATTTTTTTACTTAAAATATAGTGTTAGTAAGAAAAAAATAAATGGCAATTAATTAATTAACAATTGACAAATTTTTAAATAATAAAATGTTAAGTTGTAATTTTATTTCTATAATAGATTACCATTGCTGTCTCTATCAACATCAAATAATTAAATACAATCTGCACATGCAAGAATGTGATGTGGATACAATACACAAAAACAAAGAAACTAACATATTTGCCAAAGAATGAAACAAAACAAAATTTTGATGATAAAAACCGAACAAATAAATTATTTTTGACTTAACATCTAGTGTTAGAAAGGAAAAATAAATGGTAAGTAATTAATAAACAGTTGAAATTTTTTTAAATAATAAAATGTTACTATGTACTGTATAACAGATTACCATTGCTTTCTCTATTAACATCAATAATTAATTAAATACAATCTGCACATGCAAGAATGTGATGAGGATATGATAGACAAAAACAAAGACAGTGACACAATTCCTAAATGATACTTATATATACAAATAAATAATTTATTTGTTAAGTTGTTTTGTTGTTGTTAATGTCCATCTGATTGGTTGTTAATGTCCATCTGATTGGTTGGTAACTGGGCAGGTGTGGGTGACCGAGGCTGCAGTATTGGTGGTGGCACTTCCAACTCTACAAAGTTGGCAGCCAGTGCTGAATCATTCTGTAAATAAAGGAAATTTCTTATAAATATAGCCTTAGGTACTTTAGAGCATCTAGTCAGAGTATTTGTAATATAGCCCAAATTATAAGAAACAACAAAATTAGTTTAAAAAGATTTTGAAATTGTTTTGACTTAATCATGCCATAACTATAAAATTCTAGCAAAATGTTATGTATGTGGTGTGTATATAATGTTAAAGTTTAAAGTTTGTAATGTCATATTTATGTATTAATGTACATATTATTATGTAGTATTTAACTATGTAATATGACTTTAAATATTCATAAAGCAAAGCTAAAGCTAATGTGTGCATTTCACAAATGAGTAATTTAATTACATATAAGCTTATTATGAGTAACACAAACATTACAAAAGCAATATTACCTGAGGCACAGGAACTATTTCATTTATTGAGACCATGCCTGTAGCAGCCTCGGGCCCCATCAGGCTGAGGACTCACTGCTCCAGGTTGGTGATGCAAACTTTTAAAGCTGGACCACCACCAGTTAGTATTTGTTTTTTAGGTCACTCCACACCTATTACGTGCAAAGAAAACATGCTTATTAACTATTAAAATACAATGGCAAATGTAAAGCAAGTAAATTATTAATCACAGATAACTCTTGTATAAGTAGCATTTAACATCGAAATTGTCTCGATTGAATGGATTAACTAAATGCTGGCTTTATGGGAAGCCTTTATAATAATATAATTTTGATTATTGTTGTACCTCGTTCCATTTGTCCACCGGTTTCGAACTTTCGGTGGGATCAATGTTAAGCACCTTAGCGAGCTCCTCCCACTTGGAGACGCCGCTAAGCCTGCCGTGAGGACCACCAGCAGGCTTTTTAAGGTCTCCATTTCTAAAATATATGTAAAATACACGAAAAATTAGAACTTGATGTTGAAGAATTAAAACTAGTATTAAGAAACATTCAATAACTTAAAAGATATGAATTAATACTTGCTTACCTTTCCATAAACTCCACCATCACTTAATATTGCGAGTAACTTGTCTTCGTACACATTTTTTAATGTTTTTTATTTAAAAATAGTACTAGTAATCGTCTTTTATCAAACTTGCTTGAAATGGCGGGACAATTACTTTTTCTTAGCTGTCAAAAGACCGAATGTATATCTATTTCACTCTTTTAGTCGAGAGTAAGAGAGAAAGACATATCAGTGTGAACATCGTACATTCGTTCGTAGTCTATGCTTCTCGTAATACGTTTTCGAGAGCTCGTTCGGTCCAAATTAGACACTCGTACTACCAACTTCTCGAAATCGCAATCTTTTTACGTCAGCTCGAAAACTTTCAACGTCTTGTCGCTGGGGAAACTCATACTAAGGGTACAGGTTTCCTCACGATGTTTACCTTCGCCGTATGTCAGTGGTGTCTAAATAATCATAGAAAGTACATATAACTCGGAAAAAGTCACATTGGTACTTGCCAGGTTTTGAACTCACACCCTCATGCATGAGAAGCGGGCTCCTTAATCTCCGGGCCACCACGACATATCTATACTAATTAATAAGATAAAGCTGTAGAGTTTGTATGTTTGAACGCGCTAATCTCCGGAATTCCGGTTCGAATTGATCAATTCTTTTTGTGATCGTTAATCCATTTATCGGGGAAGGCTTTAAATCACGCTATGATCTGTTTACGGTTATTTTTAATGATAATTTATTACTAGACTTTTAGGTGGTTGTCTCACGCCGGTATGCTGTGTGGCCGTGGTATCACGCCCGTCGAGCCCACACTTACAATATTTTACTTTCATCATTTTTATTTAATTTATAAAATTTGTTTTGATACGTTATACAGGTTGTTACTAAACTGAATCTTCACATACAGTGTGCTACAAAATGTCTAGTTTCTATAAATACAGAGTGTTACACAATATTAACTCCATACACAGGGTGTTTCATCTTAGTAGATATTATGGAATAATGCTCATTTTTATACAGGATGTGTTTCTAAATAGAAAAAGCAACCTAGTCTTGATACAGGGTGTTTAAAACTAAAGCCTCATACAATACAGGGTGTTACAAGCTAGTTGATCTGATGTACGGGCGCGGAGGGCGGCGGGAAGCAGCGTACGTGTTCGACGCCGGCTCTCTCCTCGTCGGCCGCCAGGTGTCGCGCCAGTACTCCGAATATTTGAGAGTTCAGCACTTGGAACCGACGGATGCGGTCCACCATGCGCTTTAGTGGCTGTCGACATAAATTAGTTGCTTATCAGACATACTTCGGCTCGACCGGAGTGATACCACGGCCTCACAGAAAACCGGCGTGAAACAAACACAGCGTTGTTTTTCGCCGTGTGAGTGTGGTTGCCGGAGGCCCAATCCCTTCTCAACTCTTGAATATCCGAAACCCTTATCCTTAAAAGGCCCGCAGCGCACTCCTAACTCCTTTGCTGTGCGGGTGTCCATGGGCGGCACTGATTGCTTACCATCAGATAATCCGTCCGCTTTCTTATGTCATGGGTGGGTTTACAAACATACAATTACACAAGCACATCACACTCAGACACGGAACAACAATTTGTGGATCACACAAAGAGTTGCTCCGAGCGGGAATCGAACCGTGCCAACCGTGTATTCAAATCAATGAATGAAAGTACGATTATACTTTAATACTACATAATCTATACTAATATTATAAAGAGGTAAAATTTGTAAGTTTGTATGTAGGGGGTAATATTTGGAACCGCTGGTCGGATTGCCAAAATTCTTTCACTGATAGACAGCTACAATGTTCCTGAGTGCTATAGGCTATAAATCATCACGCTACGATCAAATGGAGCCGAGCAGCGGGTGAAACCGCGTGAGAGTAGCTAGTATACTATGTTGTCGATGTAGGAAGCTGGGCAATGAATATAAAAGACACAATGAGACTTACAATGCCTTTGACCGACTCGTCCTTCCCGTCCACTCTCTGCACCCTCAGGATGTGGTAGCAGAAGTCCAGCGCCTCGAACCGTCTCTGCTGGCCCAGCAGCGCTATGATGGTACACCCGGCCCAGTGCAGACCTTCGCCGAATAGTTCCCTAAGGGGTCACAGAGTTAATTAGTTAGTTAACGAGTGTGTGAGTAAGTGATTGATTGAATGAGTGAGTGAGTGAGTGAGTGAGTGAGTGAGTGAGTGAGTGAGTGAGTGAGTGAGTGAGTGAGTGAGTGAGTGAGTGAGTGAGTGAGTGAGTGAGTGAGTGAGTGAGTGAGTGAGTGAGTGAGTGAGTGGGTGAGTGAGTGGGTGAGTGAATTATCGAGATATTGAGTGGGTGAGTGAATTATCGAGATATTGATTGTGTTAGTGAGTGAGTGAGTGGGTAAGTGAATGGATGAGCGAGTGGGTGAGTGAGTGAATGAGTGTGTGACTGAGTGTGTGTGTGAGTGAGTGAATTATCGGGATATTGAGTGTGTGAGTGAGTGAGTGGGTGAGTAAGGGTGTGAGTGAAAAATCAAGAGGTTAAGTGTGTTAGCGAGTGAGTGAGTGGGTAAGTGAGTGAGTGAGTGAGCGGGTGAGTGAGTGAATGAGTGGGTGAGTGAGTGAATGAGTGTGTGAGTGAGTGAGTGCGTGAGTGTGTGAGTGACTGAGTGAGTGACACAAATAAGATGGTGAGCGGTGGATATTTGTAAAGGTTAAGAAAAAAATTAACATTTTGAAAGAATTTACGAATCTGACTCTACAGAAACCAAATACTTAACATTTTTATTGGCAGTCGCATATACTATAACATTATAAAAATGTAATGAACGAGAATCGAACGTCAAACAAAGTGTCCTTACTCGACAGTGAACTGCGTGTCACCGACGGGGATGCAGTACAAGAACTGAAGCGCTGACCACAATCTGGAATTATAAAATTAATTATAACATCACGCTATATATACGCAAAGGTGTAAGCATAACACAGAAACAGACGATTTTCTCCTGTGTCGTGGGTACGTTTACAAACATACAATTTCACATACACATCACACCCAGACCCGGAACAACAATTTGTGGATCGCACAAAGAATTGTTCCGTGCGAGAATCGAATCCGCGACACGTTGCACGGCGCCAATCGTGCTGTTATATTTCTTACCTTATAAAGTCAAAAAGAATAGAGAGAGTTCCTCTCTCTATTCTATTATATTATTTTTAAATAATTTATACATAATATAGAAAAAAATAAAGTTGTGTTAGTTACACTATTTATAACTCCAGAACGGAGGAAGGTCGATATGAACTGGGAAAAGAACATAGGATAGAGTAGGTAGGGTAGGATGGCAGCAAGTGTAGGATAGAGAGTAGAGGATAGGTAAGGTAGGGATGGTAATGCAGGGATGGTAAGGTAGGGTAGATAACGTAGGGTAGGTAAGGTAGGGTAGATAAGGTAGGGTAGGTAAGGTAGGGTAGGTATGATAGGGTAGGTAATGTAGGGTAGATAAGGTAGGGTAGGTAAGGTAGGGTAGGTAAGGTAGGGTAGATAAGGTAAGGTAGGTAAGGTAGGGTAGATAAGGTAGGGTAGGTAAGGTAGGGTAGGTAAGGTAGGGTAGGTATGATAGGGTAGGTAAGGTAGGGTAGGTAACGTAGGGTAGATAAGGTAGGGTAGGTAAGGTAGGGTAGATAACGTAGGGTAGGTAAGGTAGGGTAGATAAGGTAGGGTAGGTAAGGTAGGGTAGGTAAGGTAGGGTAGGTAAGGTAGGGTAGATAATGTAGGGTAGATAAGGTAGGGTAGGTAAGGTAGGGTAGGTAAGGTAGGGTAGGTAAGGTAGGGTAGATAAGGTAGGGTAGGTAATGTAGGGTAGATAAGGTAGGGTAGGTAAGGTAGGGTAGGTAAGGTAGGGTAGGTAAGGTAGGGTAGGTAAGGTAGGGTAGGTATGATAGGGTAGATAAGGTAGGGTAGGTAAGGTAGGGAAGGTAAGGTAGGGTAGATAAGGTAGGGTACGTAACGTAGGGTAGGTAAGGTAGGGTAGGTATGATAGGGTAGGTAATGTAGGGCAGATAAGGTAGGGTAGGTAAGGTAGTGTAGGTAAGGTAGGGTAGGTAAGGTAGGGTAGATAAGGTAGGGTAGGTAAGGTAGGGTAGATAACGTAGGGTAGGTAAGGTAGGGTAGGTAAGGTAGGGTAGGTAAGGTAGGGTAGGTATGATAGGGTAGGTAATGTAGGGTAGATAAGGTAGGGTAGGTAAGGTAGGGTAGGTAAGGTAGGGTAGATAAGGTAGGGTAGGTAACGTAGGGTAGGTAAGGTAGGGTAGGTATGATAGGGTAGGTAATGTAGGGTAGATAAGGTAGGGTAGGTAAGGTAGGGTAGGTAAGGTAGGGTAGATAAGGTAGGGTAGGTAAGGTAGGGTAGGTCAAGTAGGGTAGGTATGGTAAGGTAGGGTAGGTAAGGTAGGGTAGGTAAGGTAGGGTAGGTAAGGTAGGGTAGGTAAGGTAGGGTAGGTAAGGTAGGGTAGGGTAGGGTAGATAAGGTAGGGTAGGTAAGGTAGGGTAGGTAAGGTAGGGTAGGTAGGTAACTTGGTAAGGTAATTAGGTAGTGAAACGGCGACAAGCCTCGTGTGGCGAGGTAGTATGAAGAATAATGTGTGACCTGTGGAACTCGTTGGTGTCGTCAGTATGTGCGGGCGCGTGGTGGTGGGGGGCGGGGGGGGCGGGCCACTGCGGCGCCGACAGGCACGTGCGCAGTCTGCGCAGCACTACCGAGAACAGCGACAGCCCGCAGCACAGCCGCTCGCGGGTCAGCAGGTCGCCCTCGCGGGTCAGCTGCCTTGCTGCAGCAAATATCATAGCATCATCATCAGCCTGAGCCACTGAGCTCGATGTTCAACTCTTCTCATCCAACCACTGCCAGCCATCCTGCGGATAACTTCAGTCCACCTAGCTGGAGGGCGCCCTACACTATGTATATTGCCTAGACGTGGTCTCCACTCTAGAACACGTCAAATCTCATCTATCTCGCTTTCTGGAGAGGTCACGATAAATATCACGCAATTTTAGTTATATTGAAATAAAAAGAAATAATTCTACGTATGTACTATACTAGAAAATTAAAATTTAAATATTCTATATTGTTCAATTTTATAATATTTATAAGTCTCAGCAACATTGATACCAGTCTTAACTAGTTGTAAATAAAAGTGTGAAGTAAATTGTTTTTTTTTTCAATTTTGACAATCCTAATAAACCCGCATTCAGAAGAATGTCACGTGAAATTGGAGAATAGGGGACCCTAACGACTCCTTAGGAGGGGAGGGTCTCAGAAAGTAAAGGAAAATACCTCACGTTAATTATAGACGCCCTCCAACTAGTATACTATATAACGGGGTAGTGGATACAAGCGTGATGATGTCCCGCGGTCCCAGCTCGGAGTAGCCAGGAACAGAGTAATTTTTATTCAGTAAGAGTCTGAATCTCTCGTCCCACAAAGGATGTCAAAAAATAAAACAATTCTACGACATTAAGGAGCATGGCAGGATACACTCAAATGCTGTCTTAATCGTGGTGATCGTTACTAGTTGTGCGAGATATATTTTACTGTTTATTATAATAAATCTGTAGAGAATTCAATTCTGTACATTAAATATATTTTCAAAATAACTACTAGGGGGTGATAAGTGATCGATACTGATGCCAAAAATGCAATCAGTAACATTTTTGTCTGTCTGTCTGTCTGTATGTTCCTTATAGAAAAACTACTCGACGGATTTTAACAAAACTTGGTACAATTATTTTTTATACTCCTGGCCAGGTTATACGATACTTTTCATCACGCTACGCTACAAATAATAGGAGAAGATCAGTGAAAGGGAAATGTTGGGAAAACGGGAGAAGTTACTCCCTTTTTTTAAGTTTCCGTCGCGTGTGTAGCCTTAATGGTTAATGTGACATAGAAATTATGTATGACGAAAATATTTTACATAGAATTATAAAAAAAAATGTTTTCAGCCTTGTATTTTACTATATCTGGTGGTAAGTTAATTATAATTTTTATACAACTTACTTTAGCTCCAAACATCCACTGCTTATCTAATGGATATCCACCATTAAGCGATGACGTTTTGCCGATTGTCTGGTGATGCGATGGTGGAAAGGACTAGGGGGATTGGATTGGGCCTCCGGTAACCTCACTCACACGGCGATATACAACATACATGTTGCTTCACGCCAGTTTTCTGTGAGGCCGTGGTATCACTCCGGTCGAGCCGACCCATTCGTGCCGAAGCATGTCTCACCCACACTTATATATATATATATATATATATATATATATATATATATATTAATATTAATGAAAAAAATCACTCATTTAAGATTGTATACTTTATTTACCTAATCATAATAAAAAAGATTACATAATTATAATATTCTTAAATAAATAGCGTACACTGTCCACGCTACCATCAGTTGACTGGACAATCTCTACACTACATGAGTCGCTGTTTACATGTCACCATTAGCTCATGACGATACTAAAATCATAATTTTAATTTATTTAATAAAATATGTAATCTATAGCCAAATAATATATTTCTAATACATGTGTGAGAATTAATCTATATCCATACAACTATACATAGAAATAAAATTGGAGTGTCTGTTTGTGATATTGTATAATAATAATCCGTTAGTTTCCAACTAGTCAAATACAATACTTTTATCCAAATGTCAAAGACGATACTTTTCTATGAAATTTGTATGAAAAACTGAATTATGACGTCATAGTATTTTTGCGTAAAATAGCTTACTTATTTCTTAATAATTAGCTAAAAAATATCTAAAACATAGTGCATCGATCGATCGATGAATAAAAGTATAGTTATTTTTAAATATTTTACTGTATTTAATGGTCGAATTAATTTTTTTTTTACCTGGCAAGCTACCCAATTATTTATTACATGCATATATAAATATACTAGCTTTTGCCCGCGACTCCGTTCGCGTGGAATAGTGACTTCCTGCAGATTTTTGGTTTAAAAACTATCTCCTATGTCCTTTCTCGAGTTCCAAACTATGTCTGTACCAAATTTCACACAAATAGGTTCAGTAGTTTAGGCGTGAAGAAAGACCGAGTTACTTTCGCATTTATAATATTAGTTTGAATAACCTTTTTTATTTTTGTCTGTCTGTGTGTCTGTTTGTTCCAGCTAATCATTGGAATGGCTGGATCGATTTTAACCGGATTTTATTGATAGGCATATCATAAGGAGTAACTCAGTCTAATTGTATTTCAGAACAATTCTTTTATTTTAATCTCAAAGGAATATAGTGTCAATAATCATATTTTACGCGGAAGAAGTCGCGGGCATAATATACAATCAGTCTAATATTAATAATTTCAAATATATTATAATAAACATTATACTTATATCAGCTAATAAATAAAAAATGCAAAATCACTACATAGTATAAAACAAAGTCGCTTTCTCTGTCCCTATATACCTATGTACGCTTAAATCTATAAAACTACGCAACGGATTTTGATGCGGTTTTTTAATAGACAGAGTGATTGAAGAGGAATGCTTATACATATCTATACAAATTAATAAGATAAAGCTGTAGAGTTTGTATGTTTGAACGCGCTAATCTCCGGAATTCCGGTTCGAATTGATCAATTCTTTTTGTGATCGTTAATCCATTTATCGGGGAAGGCTTTAAATCACGCTATGATCTGTTTACGGTTATTTTTAATGATAATTTATTACTAGACTTTTAGGTGGTTGTCTCACGCCGGTATGCTGTGTGGCCGTGGTATCACGCCCGTCGAGCCCACACTTACAATATTTTACTTTCATCATTTTTATTTAATTTATAAAATTTGTTTTGATACGTTATACAGGCTGTTACTAAACTGAATCTTCACATACAGTGTGTTACACTCCACACACAGGGTGTTTCATCTTAGTAGATATGGAAGAATGCTCATGTTTATATATGTGTTTTTAAATAGAAAAAGCAACGTTAGTCTTAATACAGGATGACTTAAAGTAAAACGTCATTCAATACAGGGTGTTACAAGCTAGTTGATCTGATGTACGGGCGCGGAGGGCGGCGGGAAGCAGCGTACGTGTTCGACGCCGGCTCTCTCCTCGTCGGCCGCCAGGTGTCGCGCCAGTACTCCGAATATTTGAGAGTTCAGCACTTGGAACCGACGGATGCGGTCCACCATGCGCTTTAGTGGCTGTCGACATAAATTAGTTGCTTATCAGACATGCTTTAGCACGAATGGGTCGGCTCGACCGGAGTGATACCACGGCCTCACAGAAAACCGGCGTGAAACAACCATAGCGTTTTGTTTCGCCGTGTGAGTGAGGTTACCGGAGGCCCAATCCCTTCTCAACTCTTGTATATATCCGAAACCCTTATCCTTAAAAGGCCCGCAACTCACTCCTAACTGCTTTGGTGTTGCGGATGTCCATGGGCGGCGCTAATTGCTTACCATCAGGTAATCCGTCCGCTCTCTTGTGTCATGGGTGCGTTAACAAACATACAATTACACAAGCACATCACACCCAGACACGGAACAACAATTTGTGGATCACACAAAGAGTTGTTCCGAGCGGGAATCGAACCGTGCCAACCGTGTATTCAAAACAATGAATGCAAGTACGATTATACTTTAATACTACATAATCTACACTAATATTATAAAGAGGTAAAATTAGTAAGTTTGTATGTAGGGGGTAATATTTGGAACCGCTGGTCGGATTGCCAAAATTCTTTCACAGATAGATAGCTACAATGTTCCTGAGTGCTATAGGCTATAAAACATCACGCTACGATCAAATGGAGCCGAGCAGCGGGTGGAACCGCGTGAGAGTAGCTATATAGTTGATGTAGGAACAGCTTCCTGTTCCTACATCAACTATAGCCTATAGTTGATGTAGGAACAGGTTGTAAATATACCTTCCAGCAATGAATATAAAAGACACAATGAGACTTACAATGCCTTTGACCGACTCGTCCTTCCCGTCCACTCTCTGCACCCTCAGGATGTGGTAGCAGAAGTCCAGCGCCTCGAACCGTCTCTGCTGGCCCAGCAGCGCTATGATGGTACACCCGGCCCAGTGGAGACCTTCGCCGAATAGTTCCCTAAGGGGTCACAGAGTTAGTTAGTGAATGAGTGAGTGAGTGAGTGTGTGTGTGTGTGTGTGTGTGTGTGTGTGTGTGTGTGTGTGTGTGTGTGTGTGTGTGTGTGTGTGTGTGTGTGTGTAAGTGAGTAAGTGAGTGAGTGTGTGAGTGAGTGAGTGTGTGAGTGAGTGAGTGAGTGAGTAAGTGAGTGAGTGAGTGTGTGAATGAGTGTGTGAGTGAGTAAGCGAGCAAGTGTGTGAGTGAGTGAGTGAGTGAGTGAGTGTGTGTGTGAGTGAGTGACGGAGTTATTGAGTGAGTGATTAAGTGAGTGAATTACCGAGAAAGTGAGTGACTGCAACATAAATTAAGCGGGTATTAAAGCGAAAATAATTATCTAAATACCTTGGTAGGTAGGTTGAAAGTTAGTACAAGTGAGTGAGTGAGTGTGTGTGTGAGTGTGAGTGTGAGTGTGTGAGTGACTGAGTGACTGAGTGAGTAACACAAATAAGACGGTGAGCGGTGGATATTTGTACAGCTTAAGAAAAAATTTAACATTTTGAAAGAACTTACGAATCTGACTATACAGAAACTAAATACTAAACATTTTTATTGCTAGTCGCATAATTAGTATTCCATTATAAAAATGTAATGAACGAGAATCGAACGTCAAACAAAGTGTACTTACTCGACAGTGAACTGCGTGTCACCGACGGGGATGCAGTACAAGAACTGAAGCGCTGACCACAATCTGAAATTATAAAATTAATTATAACATCACGCTACATATACCCGAAGGTGTAAGCATTACACAGAAACAGAAGATTCCCACTTATTTATTTTTTAAACCCTTACACTAGGATTTTCTCCTGTGTCGTGGGTACGTTTACAAACATACAATTTCACATACACATCACACCCAGACCCGGAACAACAATTTGTGGATCACACTATGAGATCAAGGGTAGGTAAGGTAGGGTAGGTAAGGTAGGGTAGGTAAGGTAGGGTAGGTAAGGTAGGGTAGGTAAGGTAGGGTAGGTAAGGTAGGGTAGGTAAGGTAGGGTAGGTAAGGTAGGGTAGGTAAGGTAGGGTAGGTAAGGTAGGGTAGGTAAGGTAGGGTAGGTAAGGTAGGGTAGGTAAGGTAGGGTAGGTAAGGTAGGGTAGGTAAGGTAGGGTAGGTAAGGTAGGGTAGGTAAGGTAGGGTAGGTAAGGTAGGGTAGGTAAGGTAGGGTAGGTAAGGTAGGGTAGGTAAGGTAGGGTAGGTAAGGTAGGGTAGGTAAGGTAGGGTAGGTAAGGTAGGGTAGGTAAGGTAGGGTAGGTAAGGTAGGGTAGGTAAGGTAGGGTAGGTAAGGTAGGGTAGGTAAGGTAGGGTAGGTAAGGTAGGGTAGGTAAGGTAGGGTAGGTAAGGTAGGGTAGGTAAGGTAGGGTAGGTAAGGTAGGGTAGGTAAGGTAGGGTAGGTAAGGTAGGGTAGGTAAGGTAGGGTAGGTAAGGTAGGGCAGGTAAGGTAGGGTAGGTAAGGTAGGGTAGGTAAGGTAGGGTAGGTAAGGTAGGGTAGGTAAGGTAGGGTAGGTAAGGTAGGGTAGGTAAGGTAGAGTAGGTAAGGTAGGGTAGGTAAGGTAGGGTAGGTAAGGTAGGGTAGGTAAGGTCGGGTAGGTAAGGTAGAGTAGGTAAGGTAGGGTAGGTAAGGTAGGGTAGGTAAGGTAGGGTAGGTAAGGTAGGGTAGGTAAGGTAGGGTAGGTAAGCCTTGTGTGGCGAGGTAGTATGAACAACAATGTGTGACCTGTGGAACTCGTTGGTGTCGTCAGTATGTGCGGGCGCGTGGTGGTGGGGGGCGGGGGGGGCGGGCCACTGCGGCGCCGACAGGCACGTGCGCAGTCTGCGCAGCACTACCGAGAACAGCGACAGGCCGCAGCACAGCCGCTCGCGGGTCAGCAGGTCGCCCTCGCGGGATAGCTGGCCTTGCTGCAAGGAAATACAAGGTCAAACTCATAGGGCTTGTATACAAAACTGCGATGCGATGCGATGCGAATTCGCAACGCAGAAAATTACGATGCGAATTGCTGCGATGCGATTTTGTGCGGCAAGGCGTCTCCCAGGGTGACCATTCCTACGACGACCGTTAACCGTACTAAACGTATTTTGAACTGCAAAATAGGTCGTGAAATGGATCGTAAAAAGAAATGTGCACTTTTATTATTGCTTAGGAGATACAGGAAAAAGAAACAAAGAAGATTTTGGGTTCATCCATTAATTACTATTATGAATCCCGGTGGAATGCGCGATGCGAATCAATTCGCAAGTTCTTGCGATGCGTAGAGGGAGCTCGCAGATTTTTGCGATGCGACGTCGCATCGCAGTTTTGTGTACAAGCCCATAAACAGGTACTTTTGAACTTAAGATATAATCACAGAATACCGTCGTGGTGTATGTCACATAACCCTTTCCCCTAGCTAACTAATTACATTAAAATATTGTGCCTAATCCAAACTAATATTATAAATGCGAAAGTAACTCTGTCTGTATGTATTTTCTTAACGCCTAAACTACTGAACCGATTTCTGTGAAATATGGTACAGACATAGTTTGGAACTCGATAAAGGACATAGGATAGTTTTTATACAAAAAATCTGCAGGAAGTCAGTAAGTTAAGTAGCAGTAGTAGTTAAGTAGTCAAAAGCTAGTTAATTATTAAAAATGGTGATTAATAATGATTTTTTTAGCACTCACCTTAGCTGTGCCGTATTTGTCGACATTTTGAACGATCTGTAGAGCCGCGTATTTAGCTTCGAGTCGTTTCTGTTTCGTTTCAGGTTTTTCACCTTCTGAAATACAACATTTACATTTCAAAAATATTGTTGATATGTCGTTCATCGAATCGGTTATGGATTGAGATCGTTTTGGTTTGAAGATTAAGGCCCCCATTTCTCATGAGTGAGGGTCCGTAACAACTTTTTGTGTATGACACATCGAGCGAAAAATAAATTTAAAATTTAGAAAACCCCCGACAAAAAATCTAATATTCCTTTAAAAAGTAATAATTAAAAGAAAACGTGGCGTTGGGAGACCGATCCATACATTTTATTATCAACTACATATTTCTATCTTGTCGGGGGTCTAATTTATATTATTTCATATCAATGAAGTCATCAACATTCCCTTTCAGTGCGCTTTCATTTGAGACCCCACTCGAGTATATTTGCAGACCTTCGGTTACCCTTCCCCACTTACCCCCCCATAACTTCTAAACGGCTCAACCGATTTTTGTCAAACATGCCTAAGAACACTAGCACGTAAGTCACCTTTAATACAAAAAAAAACTAAATTGAAATTGCTTCACCCGTTCAGGCTCCAGGATGCCACAGACAGACAGACAGACACGTCAAACTTATAACACCCCTCTTTTTGCGTCGGGGGTTAATAAAACCCGTAACTCATGGCGGGCAGCAAATTGGCAAGCCACTACGTCAATAGAGCATTCATAATTGTTTTAGTGTGGGCGAGTTAAGACCGATTTTTTTAATAACATTTTTTTATGCTTCGCCGTCCTTTTGCGGAGATTGGAGATTTAGAGATAAGCGAGGGATAGAGGAAGGGAAGGATTGGGCCTCCGATAACCTCCCCCCAAACCTGCCTCAATACCTAAATCTTCAAAACCCTAATCCCAAAAGGCCGGGAACGCACTCGTAACTCGTATCATTACGTGTGTCCATGGGCGGCGCCGATTGCTTACCATCAGGTAATCGGTCTGCTTACCGAATTAAAAAGAACGGAACAAACCTGCAGCGAAGGGTCTTGGAAGAATGTTCTGGAAGGGCGCAGCGTGAAGTAAGTCCGTGACTTCTTCTTGACTAAGAGCCTGAGAACGAAAATATAACGAAAGGATATTTAAAAAAAAACACTTCATCATCAGCCTATAAGTGCCCACTGCTGAGCAAAGGCCTCTTCTCATACGGAGAAGGTTTGAGCATATCACCACGCTCGCTCAATGCGGGTTGGCGATTTCAAACTTATAATTAGAAATTACAAGTCCAGGTTTCCTCACGATGTTTACCTTCACCGTATGTCAGTGGTGTCTAAATAATCATAGAAAGTACATGTAACTCGGAAAAAGTCACATTGGTACTTGCCAGGTTTCGAACACACCCTCATGCATGAGAAGCGGGCTCCTTAACCTCCGGGCTACCACGACACAAAAAAATCACTTGAGTATCTAAAAATGACGTTACTATCGTTTTTATTATAACTTTCGTGAGACATTCTAAATTAATTATTATGTTATCGGCTCACTCACGTAATAATTCGACGAGAATATGGACCTCTAATGTCCTTAAGGTTATTTTCTTTTTATATTTCTCTGAGTACACACGTTACACTGTTCTCACATATTCAAACCAACTAAATAATGTACCAAAGAATCTTTATGTGACACTGATTTAAAAAGAGTAACCATGGAGTTTGTTGCTCGTTCTTCTCCATCGGAATCTACACTTTGGAACGAGCAAATAGCTTCACTAAGAGGACTGACTGACAGACTGACACTTCATATCTTTAAAATTTTGTTTGACGTTCAAAAGCGCCTGTGAGGGTCTAATTGAAATAAATGATTCTGACTTTGACTCTAGCATGGCTTGAAACTAGTCGAGTATCTCGTCGAACCATTACGTGAGTAAGCCGAAAACATAGTAATTGACACTATCGTTGTTTCATCAATTACAAGGCTTGTAAGAAGCCGTAGAACTCCCCCCCCCCATCTATCCCTACCCCTCCAACCGTCTCGGTCCCCCAAACATAATTATATCATGGATGAGATATCCAACATTGCGAAGCGCGAAAAGACAAGGAAGACCAAACACTTTTTAACAACTTTGACATGGCTACTAGACTAGTTTCGCGTTAAGCTTATGAACCCTGCCCGTAGCTTGAAATGAGTCGAGTTCACCAGTTAAACAGTTTTTCTTATTGAATCATTTGATTTTTACAAACATACAACTTTACATACACGTCCGTCCCAAACTTGGAACAACAATTTCTGGATCACAAAAAGAGGTTTTCCGAGAGGGCATCGAGCCCGCGAAACGTTTCATGAGTTACAATACATGAGTAAGTCAAAAAATCTAAAATTGAATATCCTATCCTACTAATATGTAAAAATTTGATAGAGTATGTATGTTTGTTTTTCTTTCACTTTAAATGAAATTGAAAATTGTAATTTGGTATGTGATACCCTTTTTTGTGAGTTTTTTTTTCTTATAAAAAAACGTAGCCCCACATTAGGATTTTCTCCTGTGTCGTGGGTGCGGTTACAAACATACGATTTCACATACACGTGACACCCAGACCCGGAACAATAATTTGTGGATCACACAAAGAGTTGTTCCGTGCGGGAATCGAACCCGCGACATGTTGCACCGCAGCCACTTGCCCAGCCACCGCCCCAACCGTGTAGTCAAAGTTTGAAAGTTGAAAATCTTCTAATAATTTCTCCCGCCCAGAGTTGGGCAGGAGGGAGTGTCAGACTCTTACTGACTAAAACCCCCCTGTTCCTTCTCCTGCTCTGGGCCGAGGTCGCGATGCCTGATTACGCTTACCCCTCCACCCCGGCTGACCATCAGCCCTATTGGGCCCCGTCTGTGGTGGTCTATTGGCTCTTTGCGGCGCGCGTGGAACGCTACGCGCCGTACGCTCGGGAGAGAGTTTATAGCTTGGATTCACACTTAGGCTACTTTTGACCTACCACGCGGGCCAATCCAGGATCGAAAACTAGTACATTAGGTATAAAAAAGCTACATACCTGTTCGATTAGCATACAGAAGAGTATGATATTTCCCAATTCTCGGAACGCGTGGAAAAGTTCAGTCCGAGCGTCGGGATATTGAACTATATCAGTTAGCTGAGCGTGGTAGTAGCCTAATACACCTGTGGGGGGGAGAAAAATGGAAAAATTAAACTTGGAGTTTCTTGCTCGTTCTTCTCCATTCGAATCTACAATTTGGAATGAGCACCTAGCTTCACTGACGAACAGACTGACAGACTACTTCTCTATTTTGACGTTTCAAAAGTACCTATTTATGGTTTAGTTGGAATAAATGATTTTGACTTTGACTTGAAAAATTGAGGAAAAAGGAAGAAAAATCATTTATTTGGCACTGGATTTATTTTTGGCAAACGAGCAGACGGATTTCCTGATGGTAAGCAATCAGCGCCGCCCATGGAACTTGTAACAACAGAGGAGTTACGAGAGCGTTACCGGCCTTTTAGGGATAAGGGTTTCAGATATTTAAGGATTAGGAAGGGATATGGTGGGAGAGGGAGGGATTGGGCGTTCGGTAATCTTACTCACACGGCGAAACACAACGCTGTGGTTGTTTCACGCCGGTTTTCTGTGAGGCCTATAGTTATCTTTAAATATTTTATTATTTATCCTTGTGAGAGAGGTTACCGGAGACTATCTCAACCCAATCTCAAAAGCCCTAATCCCCAAAACTTCGACAACGCACTCGTAACTCCTCCCTTATTCTTGTGCGACGCCGATAGCTTACCATCAGGTAATCCGTCTAAAAACAAAATCCAATATGAACTCACCGTTGGATCCATAATCATATCTGGGCAGCTTGCAATGCCTGGGCATGGCTGCGGCGAGGGCCCGTGTGAACTGGGCAATAGTTCCGTGGAGGAGGCCACGGGCCACGTCCAGCAACTCGGAGACCACAACTGCTACACCTTGGTAGCCCAAGAGTCGGACTAGCGCGTGGAGATGCTGGGCGCCCACGAACCCTGTTGAGGAAGGGACAAAAGGGGGTGAAGGTGAAAATGTATTATCGGCAGGTGTCGAGCTGGAGGGAGTGTTAGACTCTTACTGACTAAAAATCCCCCTGTTCCTTCTCCTGCTCTAGGCCGAGGTCGCGGTGCCTCATTGCGCTTACCCCGCAAAACTGTTATAATTTTAAATAAAATACATTGCTCTGCGTTCCTTCAGTGTTGGATATGGAGTCAAGAGCATCACAAATATATGTATTGTAATCTCTATCATAAGTATACTTCTATACGTTGTTATTTTTATAGAGGACTATAGTTCGTTCCATAATTAGAGACAACAATTTGACAACTGCAAATGTCAAACTACAAAAAAATGTGGCCATATTTTTTAACATAGTGATTGGCCCGAGTACAATATTTTAAATAAAATTCCGATACCGTTTTTTTTATAAAATACCCTGAGCAAAATAAAACAATTGATAAAATTTGATAAAAATTGAGTAGCAGCGCGACAGTCGCCGCGTCGCGGAATGCTGCTCATGAATATGGGCCTCTAGCATGGCTTGAAACTAGTCGAGTATCTCGTCAAATTATTACGTGAATAAGCCGAAAACATAATAAATAAATTAAAACAATGTTGCGGTGATGTTTTTTATAGTTTCATCGAATTAATAATAATAATCTTATATATAAAAATGGATCGCAAAATGTGTTGGTAAGCGCATAACTCAACAACGCCTGGACCAATTTTGCTAATTCTTTTTTTGTTGTGTTTGTTATTGCCAGGAGAAGGTTCTTATCAAAGAAAATATTAGAAAAGTAGAGGGGAAGTTTAGGAAAAAGTGACCCTTTAATAGGGAGATAGTTGGACCCGTGCGAAGCAGGGGCGGGCCGCTAGTTTAAAATAAAAATGCGAAATCCAAAATGGCTAAAAGAAAAAAATACATATTTGACTGCTGAAAGCCGAACTGTTGGAGATTGCCCGGAAACAGAAGAGTAATAAAATGATTCATCGTAATTTGTGCCTTAATTAAAATTAAAAAGATCAGAGCAGAAGAAGGAACGGGTGGGTTTTACTCAGTAAGAGTCTGACACTCTCTCTCGCCTTACGCTGGGCGGCAGAGGTAATTTGATGATTTTCCCCTCACTAAAAAAGGCCAATTTGAAAATTGACTTTTGGTATGTACTGTGACTTACCAACATACTGTGCGTATTGAGCTGAGTAAGCGAGGCTAAGTTGCTTGGAGCCCCACAGTAAGGCGTGGCCATACTGCTGGGGCTTCTCCCGCGTCACGCCCGCAGCGAACTGGATGCCGCGGCATTTCACGAAGCTGGGACAATCAAACAATATACGTATTTTATTTAATTAGTAAATATTAAGTGTGAGAGCATCTATTATCAACAACTGAATTCACCTCGGATTTACTAAATACTCCGATTAATTAATATATTTCATCTTCAATGGATAGATAAAAATATCGGCCCGAATGGCTCGACTGTAGAACCACGTGACAAACATCATAGAAAAACAGACCACAGCATCATAGAAAAACAGACGTGTAACAACTATTTTAATTTTTTTGTCAGGTGATAATCATCAAATGACTTCTCCCGCCCACTCTTACTGACTAAAAACTCCCCCGTTATTCAGTTTAGGTGGCTAACTAAAGGTGAACAATGTTGGTATGTCTCTTTATATTAAAGAGCTCGTATAAAGTACATACAAAGATTATTTAAATTCAGTTTATTAGCTAACATCGATTTAGGTAAATAGCTGATTGTAAACATTTTTACATACAATTTTTAGACAATTTCGAGTGCGTTGCGGACATTTTTAAGATTAAAGAATTTGTAATTTAGGGGTTGAAGAAGGGGAAGGATATGGCCTCCGGTAATCTCACTCACACGGCGAAACACAACGCTGCGGTCGTTTCACGTCGGTTTTCTGTGAGGCCGTGGTATCACTCCGGTCGAGCCGACCCATTCGTGCCGAAGCATGGCTCTCTAACACTTGATTATTTGATAATTACCTAACTTATAAACCATACAGATATATTTTTATAAGCTTTCTTAATTACTCACCGATCCGTAGCGGCATTATAACAATAATTCGGGAGGAAATCGAAGTTTAGCTCCCAGAAAACGTGTAATGTGATCCTCCCGTAGGGCGCGAGCACTCCGTGGTCACTCTCTCTGAGTATAGCATCGAAATCGTCCAGAGTGAGGTATCGACTTAGTAATTTGTGACATAGGCGATTCACTGATATCAACCCTTCCAATTCCTGTAAGAGAAATATATCTTATTAATATCATAAATGCAAAAGTTACGATGTTTGGATGTTTGTTACTCAATAACGCCAAAACGGGTGGACGGATCTGGATAAAATTAGGTACCCGGCATAGGATACAATCCGGTATAGGAATCAAAATCAAATCAAATCAAATTAAATCGTTTATTTCGCAAAGAATATGGGTATAAAATAAGATGTTAAAATGATAGGTATATAGGAGTTCCAACACATTCACACGTGGTTTTCGAAAGGCCGATCAATGTTAAAATCAATTAAATCTCTTGTCAAGTCATCTGATTGGTTGACTGAATTATCAACAACCAATCAGATGACTTGACAAAAGATTTAACAGGCGATTAGTTAATTTTAGCGTTGACAAGCCTTTCAGAAACCGGGTGTCAATCTAAAATTTAAGGAAATTCAATCGAGGTTATGGCTACTTTTTATCAACATACCACGTGGGCGAAGCCGCGGGCGGCAGCTAGTTTATGAATAATACTCATAAAGATATAATGAGTGGAAATGAATCAAATAAAAGAAATGAATTGTAAAAATGTTTTTTTTTAAAAAAAAACATTGCCCCACTCTAGGCTTTTCTCCTGTGTCGTGGGTGCCGTTACCAGAATCCAAACTTCTCCATCCACGTAAAATCCCTCAATCCCCATAAAGACCATATCCTCATCTACCCGCCATCCTCAATTCCTAAAAAGACTGGACCACTTTATCCTCCATCCCCAAGCCCCAAAATAGACAGAACCCCCCTCTATCCACCTTCTCCAATCCCCTGGCCTGAAAAAGACCGAATGGTCCTCTACCCTCCATCCACAATCCTCACAAAAGACCAAATGCCCCTCTATCTTAAACCCCAAGAAAATACCAAATCCCCCTCTATCCTACATCCCCAATCCCCAAAATCACTCTGAAAATTCATCATCTCATTTGACATAGAACAAAAAAATATCAACGACTTACCACAACACCAGTTATATCTCCGGCTTCGAACTTCGCTACCGCGGCGTCTAAGGCGCGGTGCATATCCGCATTGATTCGCTGAGCCACCTGGGATAATAAGGAAAACTTTATAATACTAATATCCGGCCGCGACTTCGTCTGCTTACAAATGGTTAGTTGGCTAGTCTACACTAATATTATAAAGAGGTAAAATTTGTAAGTTTGTATGTAGGGGGTTATCTTTGGAACCGCTGCTCGGATTGTCGAAATTCTTTCACTGATAGATAGCTACAATGTTCCTGAGTGCTATAGGCTAAAACTAAAACATCACGCTACGACCAAATGGAGCCGTGCAGCAAGTGGAACCGCGCGAGAGAAGCTAGTCAAAAATAAATTAAGCTGACGCTTCAATACGACTGCACAGTTGGTGCGGAGGGTGGGCCACTGACTGCCGCGCAACGTGTCGCGGGTTCGATTCACGCACTGAACCGATTTGGATATTTTTTTAAATAAAATCTTGTAGTGTGTGTGACACCTCTCCCCATAAGTAGTGTAAGTTTTATAGTAATGTAACACTTAATTAAAGACGATCGTCCAGTCAACACGTGTCTTATTTGCGCATTCATTGCAATCTAAATCAAAGGCAAAGTCACGGGTGGGAACTAATCCAAACTAATATTATAAATGCGAAAGTTAAATCTGTCTGTCTGTCTTTTCTTCACGCCTAAACTACTGAACCGACTTCTGTGTAATTTGGTACAGACATAGTTTGGAACTCGAGAAAGAGCATAGTTATAGTTTTTACCGACTTCAAAAAAGGCGGAGGTACTATATTCGGCTGATTGTTTTTTTTTTTTTGATGTTAACCGATTACTCCGCCATTTATGAACCAATTTCGAAAGTTCTGGTTTTGTTTGAAAGGTTATACTCCCGAGAGGGACGCGGGGTTACTTGGCACCGAATTCAAGATTATAAAATGGATACTAATATTATTTTCTATTTAACTAAATGAAAAAATGTATTAATTTCTACAAAGAAAATTTATTTTTTGCTTTTTAGTTTTCTTTTTCCTTTTTTTTTGGTATTTTTGATTTTTATGTGTGTGCGCTTGCGCAGAAATAAATGTTTCTTTCTTTCTTTCTTTCTTTTCTTCTTTCTTTTTGATGTCGGAATATTTTTGTTATTATACTAAAAATCTGCAGGAAGTCACTATTCCACGCGGTCTAAGTCGCGGGTGGAAGTTAGTTTCGAATAATACGGTAGTTTCCAGCTAGTCAAATTCAATACTTTTATCCAAATGTCAAAAACTATACTTTTCTATGAAATTTGTATGAAACACTGAGTTATGACGTCATAGTATTTTTGCGTCAAACAGTTTTCTTATTTCTTAAAAAATCGCTAAGAAATATCTAAAATGCAGTGTATCGATCGATCAATGGATGAAAGTACAGTTATTTTTCAATATTTTATTGTATTGAAACGTCGAATTAATTTGTTTAAAACTACTCAGTCAGTACTTACTAGTGCGCAAAGATCAACATGTCGGCCCAGTAAGGCGACGTGACGCTGTCGTAGCAGGGAGGCGTAGCGCCCGGGCGCCGCCCCCGTACTGGCGCCCCGGGCCGCGCACTCCGCGCGGTAACGTTTGTCCAGGAGCATGCTAAAAATATTAATAATAAAATTTACGTGTGAGAGAGTCATACTTCAGCTCGACCGGAGTGATACCACGGCCTCACAGAAAACCGGCGTGAAACAACCTAACGTGAAGTGATGTTACCGAAGGCCCAATCCTTTCCCTCCCCAAATCTCCAAAACAAAAGACCAGCAACAAACTGGTCACTCTGGAAATACGAGTGTCCATGGGCAGCGCTGATTGCTTACCAGCAGGTAATCCGTCTGCTCGTTTGATATCGTCATATCACATAAAAAAAAGGAAATGGTTCTCACACATTTCACATTTAAGATTTATTGATAATAACGAGAAATGCTCATGCTCACGAATAAGAGTCCCGTTGTGACTTGAAACTAGTCGAGCTTTTCTCAGTTAATGTCACGTGAGTAAGTCGTTATTTATAAAACAAAAATGAATACCAAAATGTGTTGGCAAGCGCATAACTCAAAAACAACTGCACCAATTCTCACAATTCTTATTTCGTCGTGTTCGTTATTGTCAGTGTCGAATCGACCGCAGTGATACCACGGCCTCACAAAAAAACCGGCGTGAAACTACACAGCGTTGCGTTTCGCCGTGTAACCGATTACCGGAATCCCAATCACCCACCCCCAATCCCCTATCCTTAAAATTCCTAACAACCCACAAGAAGCCAACAACGCTCTTGTAGTATAGTATCTCCTTAGGTATCACGAGTTTCCATAGGCGACGCTGACTGCTTACCATCAGGTAATCCGTCTGCTCGTTTGCCGACCTTCTTTTAAACACACAAGTAAAGAAGCTGTGTCCCATACCCTGTGTCGTGGGTGCGTTTACAAACATACAATTTCACATACACATCACACCCAGACCCGGAACAACAATTTGTGGACGAGATTCGAACCACGCAACATTTTTTATAGAATCAGTCGTTACTTTGCGGAAATCCATGACATTAAAAGTTAGGAAAAATATTTAGTTTTAATTCCGCTCGTCGGCGTCGAGTCAACATCTCCTGAGGATGCCCAGTGGAGGGCCGAAACATATGTCGAGTATAGGTTTGATTGCGTGCCATGTTTTTCCGTTGTTTTTTATATGTGTGCATATGCATGTCACCCTTGCTGCATGTGCATAAGCATGATTGCATAGGAGTGGGATTGCATCCTGCAACAAGCCTTTTTTTATGGTATAAGTCGGCAACCGAGCAGACGGATTACCTGATGGAAAGCAATCGGCGCCGCCCATGGACACCCGCAACACCGAAGGAGTTACGAGTGCGTTGCCAGCCTTTTGGGGATGGGGGTTGCGGATATAAGGATTGGGAAGGGATAGGGGAGGGATTGGGCCTCCGGTAACCTCACTCACACGGCGAAACACAACGCTGTGGGTTATTTTACGCCGGTATTCTGTGAGGCCGTGGTATCACTCCGGTCGAGCCGACCCATTCGTGCCGAAGCATGGCTCCCCCACACTTAAAAAAAAGCCCGGATTTTTGTCGCGGAATTAAAACTAAATATTTTTCCTAACATTTAAAATGTTTAGTTTTAACATACCTGCTAGCCAATTGCTTGTAATGAGCATAGACCTGCTCAGATAGTTTATAGACGAATTGATCAAAGCATAGATTCACTTCCGCTTCCACCTCATCATAAAGGAACTGCTTTCTGAACACTGTAAGCGCGTACTGGGCAGAGTCGTTGTATAGATCCAGTGGGTATAGGACATATCTGAAAACAATCCAAACTCATATTATAAATGCGAAAGTAACTCTGTCTGTATGTCTGTATTTTCTTCACGCCTAAACTACTGAACCTATTAGTGTGAAATTTGGATTAGTTTTAAACTCGAGAAAGGATATAGCATAGTTTTTATACTAAAAATCTGCAGCAAGCCATGATTCCACGCAAACGGAGTAGCGGGCAAAAGCTAGTAATATTATAAATGTGAAAGTAACTCTGTCTGTCTGTCTGTATTTTCTTGACGCCTAAACTACTGAACCGATTTGTGTGAAATTTGGAACGAAGATAGTTTGGAACTCGGGAAAGGATATAGGATAGTTTTTATACCAAAAAATCTGCAGGAAGTCATGATTCCACGCGAACGGAGTCGCGGGCAAAAGCTTGTAATATTATAAATGTGGAAGTAACTCTGTCTGTCTGTCAGTCTGTATTTTCTTCACGCCTAAACTATTGAACCGATTTGTGTGAAATTTTGAACGAACATAGTTTGGAACTCGAGAAAGGACATAGCATAGTTTTTATACCAAAAATCTGCAGGAAGTCACGCGAACGGAGTCGCGGGCAAAAGCTAGTAATATTATAAATGTGAAAGTAACTCTGTCTGTCTGTCAGTCTGTATTTTCTTCACGCCTAAACCATTGAACCGATTTATGTGAAATTTGGAATATATTTGGAGAATAGTTTTATTCCGAAAATATCGCAGGAGCGGGAACTCTTCAAAAATACCGCGAGTTCAGGAACTATGTAGGAAAAACCAAAAATGAGCAGGAAGTGACTATTCCACACGAACGAAGTCGCGGGCAAAAGCTAGTATCTTATATTACTACGGTAATAATTGGGTAGTTCCGTAGGTGAAAAATAAATTAATTCGGTATTTCAATACAATAAAATATTGAAAAACAACTATACTTCTATTCATCGATCGATCGATACCCTAAGTTTTAGATATTTTTTTAGCTAATTATTAAGAAATAAGTAAGCTATTTGACGCAAAAATACTATGACGTCATAACTCAGTGTTTCATATAAATTTCATAGAAAAGTATCGTTTTTGACATATTTTGGATAAAAGTATTGAATTTGACTAGTTGGAAACTACCGTATTACTAGTGGACCCTAGACTGCATATTTTTTTTTTACTTGCAATAAACTAGTGCTTGACTGCAATCCCACCTGATGGTAAGCAGTGATGCAATCGTTGATGGTAAGGCGCACTAGTTTATTAAGAGCCTATTCACTCTAGCCTTGAAGACACCTAAATTGTATTCGGACGGAAAGACTGCAGCCGGCAAACTGTTCCAATCCCTCGATGTACGCGGTATAAATGACGAGGCGAAACGCTTAGTCCGGGCTGCAGGCGTCTTAACAACGTAAGGGTGGATATTCGCCGTACGCCGGGATGTCCGAAGGTGAAATTGGGATGGCGGAATCAAATCGTGCAATTCCTGGGCACACTCTCCAAAATGCATCCTGTAGAAAATTTATGTAAATTATATACTCACTCCATCATAGCCGGTTCCTTGGTCCTAAGTATATGGTCGGTTAGGATCCAGGGCATAGACATCTCAATCGGGAATTGGATCCTCTTCTCCATGGTGATCAGGTCGTTGCATTCCTCGTTATGCTGGTGATGAACGGTGCATTTCTAAGAACAGACAAAAAAAATATTTTTATAATCCGTGCGGATAAAGAATGGGATTAGAAATGGCGGCTCATTGAGCTGGAAGCGTCAAAGTCAAAAGTCAAAATTATAGATTCCAACTAAACCATAAATAGGTACTTTTGAAACGTCAAAATAGGAAAGTAGTCTGTCAAGTCAGTCTGTTCGTCAGTGAAGCTAGGTTCTCATTCCAAATTGTAGATTCGAATGGAGAAGAACGAGCAAGAAACTCCATCGTTACTATTTTTGAAAAAAAAAACTTGTTTTACAATTTTAATAATATAACATTTATAGTATACATTATTGTACCCTTATGTGAGAACAATGCAGAGACAAGTTGTAAATAAAAAAGAGAAAATGATGGGACCTATCATAAAATTTTACTCCTTTACGTATAACATATTTCAAAAAAAGCATAATTAAATTATCCAAAATTACGGCAATTACAGTACGGCCGGCCGACGTATCTTGGCGAGTCTGAAGTTAGCCGTTTGTCTGCGCAATGGATCTTTTAGGAACAAAATTGTGTAGCAGCTAATCGGCTAACTTCAGACTCGCCAAGATACGTCGGCGTAATTGTAAAACAATTACTGCTGTGAGAGATATTAGATTCTAAGTGTGGGAGAGCCATGCTTCGGCACGAATGGGTCGGCTCGACCGGAGTGATACCACGGCCTCACAGAAAACCGGCGTGAAATAACCACTGCGTTGTGTTTCGCCGTGTGAGTGAGGTTACCGGAGGCCCAATCCTTCCCCTTCCCCAATCCCTAAATCTCCAAATCCCTAATCCCTAAAAGGTCGGCAACGCACTCGTAACTCCTCCGTTGCGAGTGTCCATGGGCGGCGCTGATTGCTTACCATCAGGTAATCCGTCTGCTCGTTTGCCGACCTATTACATAGAATAAAAAAAAAAAGGTATTTCTGGTTAGTTTGATGATTAGTAGGTAGCATAAAAGGTAGTCTTAAATATATTTTTCTAGTACTGTTGTTGCTTTCTAATTGTTTTATATTCAACTATAGTTCGTTCCATAATTAGAGACAACAATTTGACAACCGCAAATGTCAAACTACAAAATAATGTGGCCATATTTTTTAACATAGCGATGGGCCCGAGTACGATGTTTTAAAATACCGATACCGTTTTTTTTTTTTTTTGAATGAAGAATAGTTGCCAATTAGTCTAGTACAGACACTAGACTAATTTTGTTAGATGGGTAGACTCCATGTCAGATCCGTATCAATATAACTAAAGGGGAAGGCCAGCACGCATAATCAAAGCCGTTATTTTTTTTGTCAGTCGGTACCAACGAGTATGAGTATAGACGGAAATAATGTGCGAGCGAGAGGTGAATAGATGCGCCGCCATTTCTAATCCCATTCTTTATCGGCACGGGTTATATAGGTATTTAATGTCGCGGTGGGCCGGAGGTTTAGGCGCTTCTCATGTATAAATGCAGACAAGTACCAATGTCACTTATTCCAAGTTATATGTACTTTCTATGATTATTTAGACACCACTGACATACAATGAAGGTAAACATCGTGAGGAAACCTCGACTTGTAATTTCTAATTATAAGTTTAAAATCGCCAACCCGCCTTGAGCGAGCGTGGTGGTTAATGATCAAACCTTCTCCGTGTGAGAAGAGGCCTTTGCTTAGCTGTGAGCCCGTGTTGGCTGATGATTGTGTTATATTCTTATATAGTTCGGCTCCTATAGGTCTTAGCGTGATGTTTTATAGCTTTAATCGATAAATGGACTATCTAACACAAAAATAATTATTTAATTCGAACCAGCAGTTTCAGAGATTATCGCGTGCAAGCTAACAAAATATTGTTTTGTAATCCAAACTAAAATATTATAAATGCGAAAGTAACTCTGTATGTCTGTCTGTTCTACACGCCTAAACTACTGAACCGATTTCTGTGAAATTTGGTACAGACATAGTTTGGAACTCGAGAAAGGATGTAGGATAGTTTTTACACCAAAAATCAGCAGGAAGTCACTATTCAACGCAGACGGAGTCGCGGGCAAAAGATAGTACCTATTTTATATATTTTAATACTTACATTAACTTTTCGGCCCATTGTCATTTCGAGGTAGAACTCCCTGTACCACAGCTGTGATAGATCGCAACATTTCTGAAGAGAATCTGAAAGAAAGATAATAAATAAATAATAAATAAATAAAATTTATTGAAGAACACATAATCTAGAATATACAGTTTTGCTTAAAGCTATACCAAGTTCATAATATTGGGTGCCTGAACTAGGACAACCTGTGTTTCAGGCGAAAATGGGTAAAAACATATTATAAATAATCATAAGTACATAAGTGTTTTTAAATTAGTAATTTAATAGATGAAAATTATTTCAAACTTTTTTTTATGGTATATGTAGGTCGGCAAACAAGCAGATGGATTACCTGATGGTAAGCAATCAGCGCCGCCCATGGACACTCGCAATACCAAAGGTGTTACTACAAGTGCGTTGCCGACCTCTTGTGGGTTATGAGGGATTTAAGGGGGATTCGATGATTTAACTTAACTGATGAAAGTATTAGTGTAAGATAATCAATTACGTTCGATATTTATCGATTAAACCATAATCCCCAAACTTGGCGACGACTTTGGTGATTACACTTTTAACTCACCTGACAATAATATAATTGTCAGGTAATTACTTTAAATATTTATCAATTACACCATAATCCCCACACTTCGCGAACATTTTTATGATTAATTTTCAACTCCTAACAAGAATATAGTTGTCAGGTAACTAACTACGTTGTATATTTATCGATTAAACCATAATCCCCACACTTGGCCAACATTTGAATCACTAAGTTTTAACTTACTTAACAAGAATATTATTATCAGATTACCAGTTAACTTCTATATAAGGGTTTCACCATAATCCCCAAACTTGGCAAACATATCGGTGATTAATTTTTCAACTCACCTGACAAGTTGAGCAGATATCCCCAATAGAAACTGAGTCGGTGGAAGGTCTCAATCTGGGTCAGGGTGCCGGCGTCCAGGTCCTTTCGAAGAGTACGTCTACCACCTGACTTGTCCGAAATAAGCGCTTCCAGTTGGGTTCGAACCATGTATAGCTGGGTCGATGAGGGGCCTGTGCGAAAATAATAATATTTTTTATAACAATGAGAATTTTCTGAATTTCCTGTGAGATGGCAGCTCTGTAGCATCAAGTCCGAGGGTCGCCAAACGAGTATACGGATTACCTGATGGTAAGCAATTAGCGCCACCCATGGACACCCGCAACGGAGGAGTTACGAGTGCGTTGCCGATCTTTTAGGGATAAGGGATTTGGAGACTCAGGGATTGAGGAGGGATTGGGGGAGGGGTAGGCATTGGGCCTCCGGTAACCTCACTCACACGGCGAAACACAACGCTGTGGTTGTTTCACGCCGGTTTTCTGTGAGGCCGTGGTATCACTCCGGTCGAGCCGACCCATTCATGCCGAAGCATGGCTCTCCCACACTTAATGTCATATACTTTTTTTTTGTTATTAATTTTATTTTAAGTAGGCACCCATTGCTGCTCGTTTGCCGAACTATTACATAAAAAAAAACATTTGAAACATATTACTTTATACATGCTACAATTACTCACCGACATTCCTCCTTGGCACTTTGATAGTAAAACTAGCCTCGGCATCCTTCTTCCCTCGCAGCGCGGGGTCCTGTTGGGGCTCGCAGCCGCGCGCCCAATCACCACAAGTTTCACGAACCGATACTATTATACTGAAGAAAAATTAACAATCGTTATCTATACTAATATTATAAAGAGGTAAAATTTGTAAGTTTGTATGTAGGGGGTAATCTTTGGAACCGCTGGTCGGATTGCCAAACTTCTTTCACTGATAGATAGCTACAATGTTCCTGAGTGCTATAGGCTATTAAACATCACGCTACGATCAAATGGAGTGGAGCAGCGGGTGAAACCGCGCGAGAATAGCTACTTAGTTATAATGTCATTGGTTACAAATACATAATTTGTAACATAATGTTGAGTCAGAAATTTGTTATCTGTTCGGTCATAAATATCCATTATGTCAGATCATAAATGCTAGTATTTGGTCTAACACGAAGTCATAAATACCTGCGTATCAGATCCTTTTTATTCTTGATAGCTTTGCGCAGTGGTTCGCGCAATTTCAGCTGAACGAAATCCTGTAATTCTGCGTAAATGGAGCGACGAGCGGCGTCAGCGAAAACCGTCTCCATACGAGCCATTAGCACTTGAAGACCCTTGATCATAGCTATGACTTCAATCATTGCGAATTTCTCTTCCGAAGTGTAATTGTAGCGAGTCGCCTGAAAGAAAGAAATGTTTGTATAGTTCCTAATATAATTTATACTTATATTAAGTTAATTTCATGAACCATGTTTCTTTAAAAAAAACCGTTGCCTCATTCTAGAATTTTCTGTCGTTTCGTGGGTGCGTTTACAAACATACAATTTCACATACATTTTACAGACGCGGAACAACAATTTGTGGATCCCAGAGTTGTTGCGTGCGAGAATCGAACCCGCGACACGTTGCGCGGCAGCCAGTTGCCCAGCCTCCGCGTCAACCGTGCAGTCATACTAAATATAACTCGTGCCGACAAAGAATGGGATTAGAAATGGCGGCGCATCTATTCACCTCTCGCTCGCACATTATTTCCGTCACACTCGTTGGTACCGACTGACAAAAAAAAGCATAACAGACAGACAGAGAGACAGAGTTACTTACACATTTATAAAAATAGTTTGGATATTTGAGATTATTTAATGTTATGAAGCGAAAATAGTTTTTATCCAACCTTACCCTCTCCGCGATCCAGGTATGTATTAGGTATTGTTGACATTTTGTTTACCTAAGTACATACATTTTTTTAATTCATGAAATAACGAAAAACTTTCAACGGTAACGATATTATTTAACGTTATTCAGTTATATATTAGTAAAATGTATTGTTATTGCATTTTTATGCTGACGCTCCCAGCTCAATGAGCCGCCATTTCTAATCCCATTCTTTATTGGCACGAGTAGTACTATAATAATAGGTCTTTACCTATGAAATTGCCGTTTTGCATGAAAAAACTTAAACGATTTTTTTTTGCTTTGAAATGCGATAAAAATGTAACACTAATCAATAAACAAATGAATACTTTTGGAAAAAGAATCCCATGTTTTTAAAACAAAATTAATTAGCCTTAGCGTAACAAAAACTATTTTGATTTGAAATGGCCAGTACTGCAGAACGGCAATTTCATAGGTAAAGGCCTATTATTATATAACATTACAACGAAAAGTGGCATTGATTTTTAAATATATACATAGATATAGTATAGTATTGATTATATAGGTACAATTCGCCGGGAAAGACAGCTAATTACCATCATCAAGCGCACAGGTCCCAACAGAATACCATATGTTTACCTTCTGGTGAATAATCGCAGCATATTATGCTGAGATACTGGCCTTTTTGACCTCGCACAGGTCTTTGATTTTATCTTTTAATCTTTTTTGAAGTTGATTTGATTTTTTTTTATATATGAAATATAATTTTAAATGTATAAATTTTCTGTGCGAGTCTGAAATAAATGTTTTTTCTTTCATCTTTTTTCTAATTCTAATTAATTAATAAAACTCACCCTTTCATACTCCTCAGCGTCAGGGGGGCATCTAGGATTGCTCGCATGATCAGTCGGATGGAGAAGCTTCCAAGAACACAGCTCAGTGAGCACTGAGCACCACGAAGACAGAAGTTGTAATCCACGTAGACACAGCTCGGTCACCGCTTTGTTTTCAGCGTCAGAACCCGCTTCTTTGAAAGTCGTTGTTACCTGGGGGGATGGGGGGGGGGGGGATTAGTATAATGGCTTAAGCATGTCACCGTAAGCAGGGCTAGCAAGGATACCCTTACTATCTCACTGTCCGACCAGAACCAGACAGTCGAAGTAAAACACTTTTTTTTAATTAAACGGTGCCCCACACTCGGATTGTTTCCTGTGTCGTGGATGCGTTTACAAACATACAGTATATCAGTCTTTTTTTAGGAAAATCATCCAATAAGTTCTCCCGCATAAGGTAAGGCGAGAGTGAGACTATTAATGACTAAACCCCCCGTTCCTTCCCCTGCTCTGGGCTGAGGTCGCGGTGCCTCATTGCGCTTACCCCTCCACCCCGGCTGAACATCAGCCCTATAGGGCCCCGTCTGTGGTGGTCTATTGGCTGTTTGAACGCTACGCACCGTACGCTCGGGTCTGGTTCTGGTCGGGCGGCGAGCTACCCTTACTCGCCGTCCGCAAACCCGCGCTTATGGTGGCCGGAGATCATCTCTCGATCCCCGACGGAATGTCGCCTACTGCGGCGGCTGGGGCGTGAGGAGTATATCAAAGTCTACAAATTCCATTCCTTATACCTTCTTCTTTTGTTTAAGGACGCCGATTGCTTACCATCAGGTAAACCGTCTGCACGTTTACCGTTAAACAAAACTTACCTCATTGCTGTATCTGGCGAGTTCGGAGATGTAGTTCTGGTGTTCCTCGCGTATCTGAGGCAGGTGGACCATCAGGTCGGCTTGGGGAGATGGCGGGTTGGGGCTTGAAGACAGTGGCCACCTAGAGGAGAAGATATTTGATGCATTTTTCTTCATATAAATGTAGAAATAACTTATTTAATACGCATACTGTTGTTAGGGCTGATTTTTTAATAGTCAGATAAATGTTATCCGAGGAATAGAATTGTGTAGTTTCCTAGGTCAAAAATAAATTAATTCGACGTTTCAATACAACACAATATTGAAAAATAACTGTACTTTTATTCATCGATCGATCGATACACTGAATTTTAGATAAATATAAAAAAAGATAAATTTTTAAGAAATAAGTAAACTGTTTGACACATAAAAACTATGACGTCCATAACTCAGTGTTTAATACAAATTTCATAGAAAAGTATCGTTTCTGACATTTGGATAAAAGTATTGAATTTGACTAGTTGGAAACTACCGTATTGTTGCTGTCACTGTCTTCCCCAATAATTATTACCCAGGTAACTTTTATCGCACCATTGAAAAATCAGCCCTTAGTTATCTAAATAAATAGCGACTATCTAGTCAATGAAAAAAAGTGAAGTAAAATTTTTGAAGTATATTATTTTGACGTGCTACTTTTTAAGGCTTTTTCACAAAACAATACTTCAATTACAAAATCATTTATTTTAATTAGATAACAGCAGACGCTTTTGAACGTCAAGCAAAAAAGGAAAAAGAAAATATATTTCAAGAAGTTCAACTTTATGCGTGTGTCTGTCGGTCAGTCCTCTTAGTGAAGCTATTCGCTCGTTCCAAAGTGTAGATTCCGATGGAGAAGAACGAGCAACAAACTCCATGGTTACTCTTTTACAATCAATTTTACAATACATTTCTTTGTTACAAGAAAGTATGATTAAAATTTGGTATTAAAAAAATTTGGCTTTTTAATACAATGAGTATTAAAAAGCCAATTTTTTTTTTATCTATGAGGCTACCCAATTTCCCATAACGAGTGTCCATGGGCGGCGCTGATTGCTTACCATCAGGTAATCCGTCTGCTCGTTTACCGATATCCAAACTAATAATATAAAAATGCGAAAGTAACTCTGTCTTTTCTTCACGCCTAAACAACTTAACAGATTTCTGTGAAATTTGGTACAGACATAGTTTGGAACTCGAGCAAGGACATAGGAAGCGAGTTTTTATACCAAAATTTTTTTGATTCCGCCATCCCAATTTCACCTTCGGACATCCCGGCGTACGGCGAATATCCACCCTTACGTTGTTAAGACACCTGCGGCCCGGACTAAGCGTTTAGCCTCGTCATTTATACCGAGTACATCGAGGCATTGGAACAGTTTGCCGGCTGCAGTCTTTCCGTCCGAATACAATTTAGGTGTCTTCAAGGCTAGAGTGAATAGGCTCTTAATAAACTAGTGATCCTTACCATCAACGATTGCATCACTGCTTACCATCAGGTGGGATCGAAGTCAAATTTCAAAAAGTCATTATTCCACGCGAACGGAGTAGAAGGCAAAAGCTAGTATTTATTACATAAAAAAAAACAATTTAAAAACTTACTTGCTACTATCATAGTGTTTGGACCGCTTAATGTAATTGAACGGAGCGATCTGCATGTCTCCGAATAGAGGAACAACTTCCAGATTCTGAAAGACAACATGAATTGTATTAGGCAAAATAAAAAACCATTAAAATTCGGGCGAAATCGAGTGTACCGATTGCGACCTTTTTAACCTTTTCGCGTGTACAGCTTGCGTCATCCATCATTTTTACTAAGTTAGAGAAACAGGATGTTTAAATAAGTTTTTTTTAAAAGGATGTTTGTTACTCAATCACTCTTGACTCAACCACTCTGAAGTGTGGGAGAGCCATGCTTCGGCACGAATGGGTCGGCTCGACCGGAGTGATACCACGGCCTCACAGAAAACCGGCGTGAAACAACCACAGCGTTGTGTTTCGCCGTGTGAGTGAGGTTACCGGAGGCCCAATCCTTCCCCTCCCCCAATCTCTCCTCAATCCCTTAATCTCCAAATCCCTAATCCCTAAAAGGTCGGCAACGCACTCGTAACCCCTCCGTTGCAGGTGTCCATGGGCGCCGCTGATTGCTTACCATCAGGTAATCCGTCAGCTCGTTTGCCGACCTATGACATAAAAAAAACGTTTTTAACCTTTTAATCAACATAAGGTTTATTTATCATTATTTTCTATTGAATTAAAAAATTAAAAAAAAACGTACAACTTTGTTTGAAGTAAACTATTAGCTTTTTTTACTTTAGTGCTTGAAATCGGTTTTTTTATTTGTTAAAAAATATTTTATCCTCATATTAATGTTTACATTTCAAGTTATAGACTTAAAAAGTCAGACAGATGTCAGACTCTCATGCCCGGTTTCCGAAAGCCCGATCAATGTTAAAATCAACTAACTAGGTGTCAAATCTCTTGTCAAGTCATCTGATTGGTTGTTGATAATTCAGTCAATCAATCACATGACTTGACAAGAGATTAAATTGATTTTAACATTGATCGGCCTTTCAGAAACCGGGTGTTACTGACTAATCCCACCTGTTCCTTCTCCTGCTCTGGGCCGAGGTCGCAGTGCCTCATTGCCCTTACCCCTCCACCCCGGCTGACCATAAGCCCTTTAGGGCCCCGTCTGTGGTGGTCTATTGGCTCTTTGAGGCGCGCGCGGAACGCTACGCGCCGTACGCTCGGGTCTGGTTCTGATCCGGCAGACCCGCGCTTACGGTACCGGAGATCGTCTCCCATGACACACAGTGTTAAGTTTTAATTTATGTATAACTGTTGTGTGTATTAATGTAACCAATTTTCGGTAGAAGAGAAATAATAAAATTAATTCCTTTTTAATTTTTTCCGGTTTTCTTCATTTTTTCTTTTATATTAAATAACCTTTTTGTTACTATGTCTGTGTGCACATGGTTTGTATTAATAAACTTTTTCTTTCTTTCTTTCTTTCTTTCTTTCTTCTTTCATTGAGGAAAGTATAAAACTTACCTTAAATATTCTATCGATGCGGTCGAGACGGATCTTCTTTTTCTGATCCAAACGGTTGATGTTACAAACTTCGGAATCCATCAGGAACAATCCAAAACCCATTACCTGATAAAAAAAAACAGAATTAATATCATCATCATCATCATCATCATCAGCCTATAAGTGCCCACTGCTGAGCAAAGGCCTCTTCTCATACGGAGAAGGTTTGAGCATTACACCACGCTTGCTCAATGCGGATTGGCGATTTCAAACTTATAATTAGAAATTATAAGTCCAGGTTTCCTCACGATGTCTACCTTCACCGTATGTCAGTGGTGTCTAAATAATCATAGAAAGTACATATAACTCGGAAAAAGTCATATTGGTACTTGCCAGGTTTCGAACCTTCCCCCTTATGCATGAGAAGCGGGCGCATTGACCACCGGGCCACCACGACATTACACGACACGAATTAATATAATAATAATAAACATGTGCTTGAAACTGGCTCAATTTTAAATTAAAAAACTATACTTTCGTATGAATTTGTTTGAACCATGCTTCGATTCGACCGGACTGATACAACGGCTTAACAGGAAACCGGCGTGAAACAACCACAGCGTTGTGTTTCGCCGTGTGAGTGAGGTTACCGGAGGCCCAATCCTTCTTCCCCGCACCCTAAATGCCCAATCCTTAAATCCCACAAATGGACGGCAACGTACTTTTATCTCGTTTGGTATTACAAGTGTCCATGGGCGGCGCTGATTGCTTACCATCAGGTAATCCGTCTGCTCGTTTGCCGACCTATCATATATCAAAAGAAACTAAACTACTGGGACACACATGGGCTTTATAACTAGTGAAAATTGGCTGTTACATTTTATGCGGATCTCTGCCTAACCCCTTTTGGGGATGGGGTAGGGAATATCATCAAATTTTTATCCGGCCCTGGATGACGCGAGTAGGTAGTGTCAGACTCTTACTGACTAAAAACCCTCCCGTTCCTTCTTCTGATTTAGGCCGAGGTCGCGGTGCCTCATTGCGCTTACCCCGCAACCCCGGCTGAACATCAGCCCTATAGGGCCTCGTCTGTGGTGGTCTATTGGCTCTTTGATCCGTACGCTCGGGTCTGGTTTTGGTCGGACGGCGAGCTACCCTAACTCGCCGTCCGCAGACCCGCTAGGCGAGATGGTATGTCAGACTCTTACTGACTAAAAACCCCCCTGTTCCTTCTCCTGCTCTAGGCCGAGGTCGCGGTACCTTATTACAACATACAATTTAAGTGTGGGAGAGCCATGTTTCGGCACGAATGGGTCGGCTCGACCGGAGTGATACCACGGCCTCACAGAAAACCGGCGTGAAACAACCACAGCGTTGTGTTTCGCCGTGTGAGTGAGGTTACCGGAAGCCCAATCCTTCCCCTCCTCCAATCCCTAAATCTCCAAATCCCTAATCCCTAAAAGGTCGGCAACGCACTCGTAACTCCTCCGTTGCGGGTGTCCATGGGCGGCGCTGATTGCTTACCATCAGGTAATCCGTCTGCTCGTTTGCCGATCTATTACATAAAAAAAACATGCTTGGGCCCTTAGATCGACTTTGAACTCACCTTGACAAGCATATGTTTTTCAGACGGTGTGAGATACATTTTGGTCTCGAACATATGCACGCAGATGTTAACAACATCAGCTAATAACTCTTCGTAGCCTGAAATTTAAAGGATAAAAATCACTCTCCGATCAATTTCGAGCTCGAGGTCGAACGATTTCGGTCGACGCTCGAAAAGTGTAAGAAATAAATTCAATTAAAAAAAATGACTTTTATTTTATCGTATTTATCTGACTATAAGAATAACAAACTAAATAAGGTATTGTGAAACAATTGTAATTATCTCAAGAGATGGAGATTGTTTGTCTCTTTCTAACCCTCATATCCCCTTAAATGGGAGAAGGAGGGAGGACAATGTTTGATATTTGAATTATTTATGACTAACATAAAAATCAGGCATAATTTTTTTTTATCTACCCTATCCATTTTAAAAATGAGAAAATTTTTAGGGATTTTCAGCAGATACCCAATTCATCACCCCTTCCCCCATCCTTAATCGTCAAATCCCCTATCCTTAAGTCTCTTATAACCCACAAGAGGCCGAATACGCACTTGTAGCAACTCCTTCAGTACTACGAGTATCCATGGGCGGCTCCGATTGCTTACCATCTTTATATACACCGTGACTTTTTAGTCGTCTTACAAAGGCAGCCCAGTTCATGTATCCAATGACTATACTCGGAATTTTAATTCCATTCCAGATATGACAATTTCAGTGTTGCAACGTTATGACACGTACTAAATAGTGATGTTGCGAAATTATTCGATATGGAAATCGAATATTTCTGAATCGATTCCTCTTGTTTTTAAATTTACTCTCGTAAACTAAGTTTATCAGGAAATAAAATATTTCTGAACCGATAATTAAGTTTTGACAATTAATTAACCATCTGAGACTTTCATTTTGTAATTGTGTGTAAAAAAAATGTGATCATGAAGGAACATGACAAATAAAACAGACATTTTATAAATTGTCGCCGTCATCGCTATCGCTATCGCTGTTACTTTCTGTAACATTTATTATGAATTGTGTCTGTGATATTTATTGTTAATTAACATATCTAGCTTACTAATTTTTTCCTCTTCTTTGACTACATGGGATACGCATTTAGACCATTCGGTAGCCGTAATTTTGTGAATGTCTTCCTGAAACTGATTCACTGATTGTTTATCGATTTTTGTGTTCATTACTACACTGTTATATGTGGTATCATTATTTAACAAAATGACAGTAGGTCATGTCAAATCAGGAATCGAATTAAAATTCTGACTATAGTAAACGTTCATAATAAAAAAATAAAAATATAATGAGATTTAAATAAATTAAAAATAAAAATATTAATCATTATTATGACGCAAGGCGTAGTTTTAGAAACACTCTGTAGCGAGCGCGGTCCGTGCCTAAGCTACAGTAAGAGTGACCTTCACCTAATTTCAAGTGAAAGGGGCGGGGCATCGCGTGCGCCGACGTTGTCTAAGGATAGCGCTAGACAATCTGATTGGACAACAGTCCACTTGGACTATAGTTCGTTCCATAATTAGAGACAACGATTTGACATTTCGAGTGTTGCTGGTTTTTTCCATTTCATAAATAGTGAAGTCCCGCGACCGGTATTAACCGAAAGACCGAAAATCATTTGTAAATCTATTAACAATTAGCATTGATATGATGTAATTATTTTACAAGAAACTATGGTCAGCTTTGGCATTTCCTCACAGCAATTTGACAGATGGAATGTCAAACATAATTTTAACCAACAAATACGTTGGTATTGGTTTCTATAATTATAAAAATAATGTCGGTCAGTCAGATTCTAATATCGCTCCCATCCGATCTCTGATCTCTTCATATTGCTCCGAGTTCATTTATTTGTGATAATCTTCAATTCCTTTTTAGCTCCATATATTAATACCTAGGTACAATATACAATGTACTATAAAAAGATCCCCGCTACTTTTTTTGTTTTGCTCAGGGTAATTTATAAAAAAATCGGTATCGGTAAGTATTTTGAAACATCGTACTCAGGTCCATCACTATGTTAAAAAATCTGGCCACATTATTTTGTAGTTTGACATTTGCAGTTGTCAAATTGTTGTCTCTAATTATGGAATGAACTATATGCTAGATTGGTTTGCGATATTTTGTCTCGTAGAAAAGGAAGATGGAGGATACTCTACAGTTTGAAAGGTAAAGATTTTTAACAGGATGTTTCATATTTCTAACGTTTTATTAATATTTTCCGTACCTATTATCTAAATGAATGATAAAAAAATAAATAAATAAATCACGCCTAGAGATATTTTATGTCGGATACATTAACTGAACAACTTTTGTAAGACGACTAAAAAGTCACGGTGTATATAAAAAAAAATGGATCGCAAAATGTGTTGGTAAGCGCATAACTCAACAACGCCTGGACCGATTTTGCTAATTCTTTTTTTGTTGTTTGTTATTGTCAGGAAAAGGTTCTTATTAAAGAAAATATTAGAAAAGTAGAGGGGAAGATTGCATTGCACTGCACTCTTGCACACGACAGCACGGTTGGCGCGGTGCCGTGCGACGTGTCGCGGGTTCGATTCCCGCACGGAACAACACTTTGTGTGATCCACAAATTGTTGTGGTCTCATGTATATGTGAAATTGTATGTTTGTAAACGCACCCACCGCACAGAAGAAAATCCTAGTGTGGGGCAAAAAAAAAAAAGAAAAAAGAAAAAAAGAAGATTAGGAAAAAGTGACCCTTTGAAAGCGAGATAGTTGGACCCGAGTCAGGCAATAAAAATACTATGTAGTGATAGGAAGCTAACCGTTAATCTTCTCCAAGGCGTCCTTGACCGTGTCTCTGATCTTGTTCTGGGTAGCGAGGAACATGGAGAGGTTCTGGGACTCCTGAAGACTCTGACTGTCTGACATCACCTTGAGGAATTGTGCAGCCCTGAAAGTTTTTGAAAAGTAACTATCGTGAGACATTCAAAATTTATTGAAAATAGTATTTAGTAGTTTTTTTTTTTTTTTTTTTTGTTAAAAGACGTTGCCCCACTTTAGGATTTTCTCCTGTATTGTGGGTGCGTTTACAAACATACAATGTCACATACACATAACACCCAGACCCGGAACAACAATTTGTGGAGCACACAAAGTGTTGTTCTGTGCGGGAATCGAACCCGCGACACGTTGCACGGCAGCCAGTTGCCCAGCCACCGCACCAACCGTGCAGTCAAATATATATCTTTTCTCAGTGAACGTCAGATGAGCAAGTCGTTATCCAAAGTTCCAAATGAATATTATAAATGCTAAAGTAACTCTGTCTGTCTTTTCTTCACGCCTAAACTACTAAACTGATTTCTGTGAAATTTGGTACAGACATAGTTTGAAACTCGAGAAAGGACATAGGATAGTTTTTTAACCAAAAATCTGCAGGAAGTCACTATTCCACGCGAACGGAGTCGTGGGCAAAAGCTTGCTTTCAATAAAATCAAGATTAATTGAAATGGATTATGTTGGAAACAAATAATAATTTAAAAAAAAACACGCCTGCCATGTTTAAAAATGAACTAAAAAGTAAAAAATAAGTTGAGCCAAGCTTCGACACAAGTGGGTCGGGTCGACCGGAGTGATACCACGGCCTCACAGAAAATTGGCGTGGAACAACCACAGCGTTGTGTTTCGCCGTGTGAGTAAGGTTACCGGAGGCCCAATCCTTTACCTCCCCCGATCCCTAAGCAACGCACTAGTAACTCCTCCGTTGCGGGTGTCCATGGGCGGCGCTGATTGCTTACCATCAGGTAATCCGTCTGCACGATCCGTCTATTCCATAAAAAAAAACCTAGTAAAGAGCCAGCGCCTAGCGCGATAACCAAGTACCAGGTGTGTCCCCCCCCCCCCCCCCCCCCACCGTACACCTACCTTCTGTAAGTAGAATAATCGTTCTTGACGGAACTCTTCATGTTCTTCAGCTCGTCCAGGACTGCGAACATGTTGACGAACTTGCCGAGGGTAAGCAGGTACGCTTCGGAAACGAAATCCCTTCGCTTCTCGGCGTGACAAAGTCTTCGGACTTCGCCGCAGAAGCGTTCTATGGCTTTGCGCTGTGGGAAACGGAAAATAATTAATTTTTATCTATATGTCACCGGAAAATAACAAGATCCGTAAGTTTATCAAATTTCTAGGAAGTTTATACTTAACAAATTTATATTTATAATAGTTTATACTTAAAATATAATTAACTTTCGTAAGATTCTAAACGGGAGATAAATTGTAATATTTTACGTCCACATTTTCGTAAATTTATCAATTTCCAACGTCATACGGTAAATGTATAAACTAACGAATATCTATTAGTAAATTTTTATATGGTTCGACCAATCACAGAAACTCTTTTAAATATACGATCTTTGAAATAGGTACGTAAAATAACACTGCTTTCTGATTGGTCAATGTTCATAGTGGCAATGCTTGTGTCCATAGAAGTGACACGTGACAGCCAACCAATCAGATCGCGCGTAGCGTTTGGTTACTGCTTACTTATTATTTTACGAGTGACTTCAGTAAGTTTATCAATTTACGAAAATGTGGACGTAAAATATTACAATTTATCTCCCATTTAGAATCTTACGAAAGTTTATAAACTTCCTAGTAAATTGATAAACTTACGGATCTTGTTATTTTCCGGTGACTTAAATACTAAAGGGCACTCCCCGAAAACCCCCACATATTAAATTGCAGCCAAATCGTTAGGGTCGTGACGCTTTTTTCAAGCAATCAGCGCCATCTGCCGGGCTGATTTGTGAATCTAAACCATCCAGGGTGTCACTCAAACGCATACAGAAAAAATCATTTTCGCCTCACGTTAAATCACGGTTGGGTTTTCGCTTTCATTGATCATAATTATTAGGGTCCCTATACTTCGGAAGCCTAAAAAAAGGGAGTGCTATAAAGATTATATTCATTCACCCATTCTTTGACTCAATCATACATTCACCCATTCATTCATTCACTTATACATTCATTTCTTTATTTATACCTTAAAAAAGATAGCTTGATCTCTGTGACATTCGTCAAACTGACATTCCTAGGGTTGTCATGGTACAAAAAAATATCGATAATAATTTTCGACGTTTCTTACTTATCGATGCTAAAATTATATGTTTAATTGGAATATAATTTGGGTACTGAAATGAAACTAATATTTTAATCTAAATAAATTTATTCCAAAGAAAAACACCCCAAATCTATATCCGAATCACTTTCAGAATGTCCCGAAACCCAAAGTTGTCGAAAGAATTTTACCTGAGTAGGTTACTATTTAAATTTTATTTACGCACTATTGTAAATAATGTTATTATTTTAAAATATACAATAAAATGAAATGATAAATTAATTTTGAATTAAGAAAAAATATCGATAGTTTATAGTTTGTGGTCACGATGTTTCATCACTCATCACTAATTAGGTCAGCATGCCCATAAAGTATGACATTGACAGGTACGTTTCTCCGTACTGTTAAATTCAGAACTTCATAGGCGCGATTTTACTGACAGCTGTCCCAGAGATCAAGCTATCTTTTACTAAGTGTAAATACCTGGAAATACATAAACTGCAACAGCTTGTCGACTTCAGGAGCCAAGACCTGCACGGTCCTCTCATATATATGCACTCGGTCGGGCTGTTCGTTGGACCGAGGCTGAGGTATGGCCCGACTGCAGCATCTCCATGTATACAGCATTACAGCATGGTCGTTGCCCTCTTCTAGGAGTTCATTCTGAAAAAAGAGGAAAAAAAAACAACATTAACAAAGGCCCAATCCCTCCTCAATCCCTAAATCTGCAAATCCCTAAAAGGTCGGCAACGCACTCGTTACTCCCCCGTTGCGGGTGTCTATGGGCGGCGCTGATTGCTTACCATCAGGTAATCCGTCTGCTCCTTACTACATAAAAAAGACTGGTAAAGGTCTTTTCTCATAGAGAAAAAGGGTTGAACATTAACCACGACGCTCGCTCAAGGCGGATTGGCGATTTCAAACTTATAATTAGAAATTATAAGTCCAGGTTCCCTCACGATTTTGCATCATGTATGCAGGCAGGCAAAGCCGCAGGTAGGTATGTAAATAGTCTTAATGCATTGAGGCTTAAAGAGGTCACGCACCTCTCGATAGAGATGTGCCATAACAGGCGTTGCACCAAAGGGACTCCGGAGTTGGTCTATCAAGAGGTCCCGGTGTCCCTTCGCCCCTAAGATGACACACTGACCCCTTATAGGTGTTGATAGTGGCCACCGGGGAGGTTTTTGTGATGTAAAAATCCCACACTCCCTAGTCTTATTCCCCAAAAAAGCTAGGCACCTTTTAAAGGTATTCCCCCGTTACCAAATAAAAATAGTATAATCTTAGAAACTTACATATAACTCGGAAAAAGTCACATTGCTACTTGCCGGATTTAAAACACGCGGCCATAAAACGCAACCTCCTTGGAATATCCAAAACCCTTGTCCCTAAAAGGCCGGCAACGCACTCGTAACTACTTTGGTGTTGCGGGTGTCATCATGGGCGGCGCTGATTGCTTACCATCAGGTAATCCGAGTAAGTGTGGGAGAGCCAAGCTTCGGCACGAATGGGTCGGCTCGCCCAGAGTGATACCACGGCCTCATAGAATACCGGCGTGAAACAACCTACAGCGTTGTGTTTCGCCGTGTGAGTGAGGTTACCGGAGACCCAATCCCTCCCCTTCCCCTATCCCTTCCCAATCCTTATACCCGCAACCCCTATCCCCAAAAAAGCCAGCAACGCACTCGTAACTCCTTTGGTGTTGCGCGTGTCCATGGGCGGCGCCGATTGCTTACCATCAGGTAATCCGTCTGCTCCTTTGCAGACATATAACATAAAAAAAATCCGTAACCTCGTTTTCCGACCAATGAAATGAAAAAAAATCTATCAGTATTTCAAGACTTACCAAGTTGGCATGTACAGTGGCCTCCTCGATATACTTGGCGATACCGGTGACGAAGCCATTGCGATCTTCGAAGTTGGTGTCGAAGTTGGCTTGGTATAATATGGAGCAGGGTGCAGCCTCAATGCATGGCTGTTCATCTGGAAGAATCAGAATATTATCTTACCAATATTATAAACGCGAAAGTTTCGATGTTCGGATGTTTGTTACTCAATAACGCCAAAACTACGGGATGGATCTGGATGAAATTTGACACAGGCATAGGAAATTCCCCGGAAAGTCCTAGTTGTGAAATAAAATTTAGTTTTATGACTTGTTATGAAGATACAAATAATATATTGAATACTTTTCAGCTAGTCTTAGCTATGCTTTTTGGACTTTTTATTATAACTTTTGTGAGACATTCTAAAATAATTATTATGTTCTCGGCTTACTCACGTAATAATTTGACTAGATATAAGTCGAGTATCTCATCAAATTATTATGTGAGTAAGCTGAAAACATATTATAATTAATTTATTTTGGACTGTCAAATCGGTCGGACTGATACAACAATCTACCAGATAACCCGTGTGGTGTTTCACCATGTGATTGAGGTTTCTTTTCCCACCCCTAACCTCTCATCATCATCATCAGCCTATAAGTGCCCACTGCTGAGCAAAGCCCTCTTCTCACACGGACAAGGTTAGAGCATTGATCACCAGGCTTGCTCAAGGCAGAGGCGATTTCAAACGTATAATTAGAAATTATAAATTCAGGATTCATCACGATGTTTACCTTCACCGTATGTCAGTGGTGTCTAAATAATCATAGAAACTTGCAGTTAAATTTATTTCAATATATAAGACCTTGCACATATTGTATTGATGCATACTCATGTTTGACAATAAATATTATTCTATTCCATTCACATTTGGTATTTTATTAGCTTCCATAGGGTAAAAACAAGTAAAGTAGCCCTTGTTTTTGAATCCAGACTATAATCTGTCTCTGTGCCAAATTTCATTCAGATCCGTTCAGTAGTTTTTACAGGTAAGAGTAACAAACATCCATTTGTACTTTAAAACTTTGTGTTTATAACAATAGTAGGATATCAAGCTAGAGTGAGACATATAACAGGTACCTATGAAATTGCCGTTCTGCAGTACTGGCCATTTCAAATCAAAATAGTTTTTGTTAGGCTAAGGCTAATTAATTTTGTTTTAAAAACATGGGATTCTTTTTTGTGTTACATTTTCATCGCATTTCAAATCAATAAATATCATTTACATTTTTTCATGCAAAACAGCAATTTCATAGGTAAAATTCTATTATATTTTATCATTAATTAAACAACATACTAAGTAGGTACGTATAAGTTAAATTGTGATTACCTCTATCAATATAATGTCAGGAAGAACACTTATCAACTTTTTATTTATTGAATAAAATTAAATAACTAATTAAAATATTTTGTAGTTGGCTAAGTCATGCCTGATTTTAAATGTAATATGTGATTATAAAAATAATAAGTCTTCGTTATTAGTCAGTAAATATTGTTTAATAACAATTAAATATTGTTAGCAAGACTTGAAAACCGACCCCACCTAGATTTAATAACTAAAGTGATTAATCAATTTTAGAACGTTAAATTAATACTTACCCGGCAAAGTGAGCTCATCCAACACATCCACATTACTCAGCGCATCGGATAAGGATACTTTTTCACTCACAGACATGATAATTTAGTTTCAAAACACGGAAATACCGAGAGGAAATCTAACGCACAGGATGTCTATAATTACGGCTTATAAACACATAAGTTTATGTTAATTGTCACTTAAGTGATAAAACAAAACTTGCTACCCGTTCGGTATTAGTCAAATTTAGTATTTATGTTCTAATTCATTAGGTTTTTCAGTTTATTTAACTTTTAGGTACATCAAATGAGTAATGGCGAACAACGTTTGACAGCTAAACATTATTAATGTTAGTGGTGCTACACACTCGACTGCGCAATCGACCACAGATACAAATAGCCATGTTACCGGTTTTGTGTTATCGGTTTTTTTTTGTTAGGTCGCCTTTAGCGCCCATGCGCAACAGCTTACAGCTACTCGATTGGGAAATAGCCATTCAATTATTTATGACGTCACTCCCACTGGACGGATTACCTACTGAACTTTCTGACGTGCAATTGGGAGGCCTAGGTCCAGCAGTTGACGAAATGAGACTGAGGCTGATGATGATAATGATGATGACTGGACCTTCTCATTATTCGTAACCCAAAATTAGGTAACAATATGTAACAAATTACTTCCTTGAGAGAGTTGACGAAATAAGAATTTCGATACATTAATACGTAGGTAATGTAACAATACATTTTGACCACAAAAATATGAGAGAGAGGCGCCAATTTCCATTTTGCACCTAAATAATGAATCTGGTAATCAAATCGGAGATTCCTTTAGCGGAACGCGCTACTTACTTGTAACTTGTGTGACCACTGGATCACTGAGTTATGGAACACTCTTCTACATGTTTGAACCAGTATGACCCAATGACGTATTATATATAGACACGTCATGAACCAACATCGCGGCGCTTAAAAACGGCGAAAATACAAGATAACTACTTCTACGACTAAAGAAAGGGAAAGCAAATATGACATCGTATAGTGGAATGCCTTTGCTAGAGGGAGATAAATATACGTCTTCAGTTATGCCGACGTCACGTGACTATACCTTCATGCGCCGGCCGCCATAAGATGGCGGGCGCCGGCGTCGAAAAAAATAAAATAAAAATAGGTTGTTTGGTGAACTTACGCATGAAATGACACATTTTTGTCTTTAACTTTTGGAGTATAATTTGTACATCGTCTGAAAACACACGACGACATGCTTTCTTTATGTTTCGCACAGGTTTACACACGATATAAATTAAAAACAAACGTAGCGTCGCGCGGGAGGTTGGTGCGTGACTAAGCGCGATGTTGTCAAATTGCCTTCATTTCATGTTGCCATTTTAGAGCGCGGACAACGTATCTATAGATTTATACATCATTGGTATGACCAGATTTACCTACGACTGTACAATAGGTGTAATGAAGGCTAAATAAAAATTCAGCTAGGGTTGTAGGTCCAAGTGTAATGATGTACCTCGGCCCGGTTCGAATATAGAAAAGGAAAGAGCTATTTTTTGTCAATAACCCACTTATTATAAATTAAGAATTATCTTTAGTCTGGTTTTGAATTTTATGAATCTTTTTCTCACATACCTTCAAATCGAAACACAAAAATTGGCTCAATAATTTAAATCTAGACTACAGAAAAACTTTGTTTTGTAATAAGGCCGTTAGAGTCTACCCCTCCGTCTCGCCCCTCCCTAGGCAAGGGAAATCATGTGATTATATTCCCTTCAGAAACAAAAAAGCCGGCGTTAAGTTAACCGCTGCCTGACTCGTAGCAGAAGGAGAAGAGAAGAAAGTAGTTTTGGGTAAGAATGAGTCAGACACTCTCTCTTGCTCCACCCGTAGCGGAGAAGTCATGGCTTCATGACTTTTTCCTTCCAAAAATAATTTTTAACAAAAAATAAACCCATTTCAAAAATTAAACTAAAAATAAAAAAATAAACTTGATTTATACAAAGAAGTGCGTATTTTCATTTAGTTATACTTATAGAAAATAATACTTATTACTGTTTATACTATAATCTTGGATTGTAGCAAAGTGAGCCAATACGAATCATTCAAGCCCCAACACAAGGCAACTACTCCAAATAGTCAAGGAGATCCCTCGACTGTCTTCCGGCTCCAACATCAGGTCGACTTCGATCTTCGTCAAGTTGTAGTATTGTAAAAGACCTACTTAAACATCATACAAAAGAACTACTCGCCCCTACAATTTTTGAAAGTTCCCCTCGATTTCTCCAGGATTCCGTCATCAGATCCTGACCTCATGGCAATGGGACCAAATGGCAAGTATGCCCTATCAAATACAAAAAATATGCAAATCGGCCCAGGCGTCTTTGAGTAATCGTTGTAGGTACATACTTACATAAAAAAAATACGCATCGAATTGAGAACCTCCTCCTTTTTTACCCGACTGCCAAAGAAGGAGGGTAATGTTTTTCGAGTGTATGTAAGTATGTATGTATGTCTTTTCCTTTGTGACCTCCTGTAGCCTAAACGGCTTGATGGATTTTGATGTATGAGGTATCGTTAGATTTGTCTTGATTACGGGAGTGTCATAGGATACATTTTATCCTAAAAGTCCCACGGGATAAAGACATTTTCCACACAGACAGTTTCACATCCAGATTGGCGGTAAATTTATGTTGCGGAGTAACATCACTCGTAATCTAAAGCCAAATGTCGTCGAAATAATTTAAAATGGTACTTACATATACATAGTCTTCTACATCTACAACATTTTCGTTAAATAAAAACAGCTAAAAAGTTATAAATAAAAAAAATATTATTAAAAAAACAAAATACCCGACTGCACACTAAAAAAGGAGTAAAACAAGCCCCACAATACAAATTTACTGAATATAATTTATAAATGTTGATGGAAAGCATCGCAGGCGGGGACCACCTTGACCGCCACCAACGAAAATTCTGCTAAATGGTGCACAACAGAAATGACTATAAATAAGCCTCTGTTGGTCCCCGCCTGCGATGCTTTCCATCAACATTTATAAATTATATTCAGTAAATTTGTATTGTGGGGCTTGTTTTACTCCTTTTTTAGTGTGCAGTCGGGTATTTTGTTTTTTTAATAATATTTTTTTATTGAAGTCTGTTAAAAAAAGTTTTTAAGTAAGCAAGGATAGTAGGTACCTACCTATAATAGTAGTAAAAGGTATTGCTAAGTAGTTTTAATATACGCTCACGATAAAAAAAAAACGTGATTTCGTGTGTGTAAATAATAATTGCGAAAGCTGCAAATATTTCACTGTAGGTAATATGTTATCTGGTGTCATATTATACCGGATGGTGTCTAATGGCGAGCCTTTTGGTCGTAATTATTTACCTGAAATAAGTATTTGCCTTGTCAGCTGATCTATAAGAAATACTTATCAGATACCTACACGAATTACTCAAGAATAAATTATTTCGGTTTTTTTTTCATGTGATGGTAACCAATCGGCGCCGCTCATGGAGACCAGCAACACCAGCAACTCGAGTACCGTTTTTGACATTTGGATAAAAGTATTGAATTTTACTATTTGAAAACCGTACTGTATTCAGATCTTCTGTGAATAGATACCCTCGTCACAGAGCCACAGAGTACCCCGCAAAATTTTGGCAGGACGCTAGTCTAATTAAGGAAAAAAAATGAAACACACAAAATATGTACAACATTAGGTATATTCATGTACTTTTTTAAAAGCCTCCTTACTTAACCTATTAATTTCTCCTTCCATTAATATTTATAACAACCAAGAAATTCAAACATACAACATATTTAACTACTAACATAGTAAAGGCAACTCATGGTATCTAGGATAAATGGGACTGGCGTTTTTGAGCTCGCCAGATGGCGCTGTTGAAGCGTTAGGGTAATATGCTATTTATTTGTCCAATCAATGTAGTTGTCAAAAATTGACTATCCTATTACTGGAATTATTGTCCTGGAAGAAAACCAAGACTTATAATTTCTAATTATATCTAAAAAAAAAATCGTCAATCCGACTGAAGCAAACTTTTTGGTTAATACTCAAACCTTCACGGTGTGAAAAAAGGCTTTTGCGCAAAAGTAATTATAGACTGGTGATAATTATGATGACTTTAGGAAAATTTCTATTGGATAGACAGAGCCTAAAGCTTCAGTAGCGCCATCTGGCGAGCAAAAAAACGTTAAATGTCAAAAGGCGTTAACAAATTAGCAGATATGAAAATGAAATACAAGTGGAAACTGATCCGTTTAATTTGCTAACATCCAGTCGATAATAGTATACAGAATTTTGGGAAAACCTTCAAAAAACCGGACAATGGTCTATCGGCTTAGGTAATTAATTAAATATAAACAATCTTGGCATGTCCTTTTTATCTGAAAGTTGTATGTGAAAATGTTTACAACCAGGTATTTACCTAAATCGATGTTAGCTAATAAACTGAATTTAAATAATCTTTGTATGTATTTTATACGAGCTCTTTAATATAAAAAGACATACCAACATTGTTTACCTTTAGTTAAGCCGATAAACATTACCGACATTTATAATAACACACACACAGGGTATGCCAATTAATTAAAAAACTATTTCGATTGGCAGTTAGACAATAAACAAAATATTAAACACGTATTTTTCCATTTTACTTTTTGAATAATTTTGGTAACTAATTTCAATTTAGAATACTAAAGGCGTTGCCGTTATGGGTCACCGCTCAATATAAAATGGAAATGGTGGACGTGACTTCGCATGATCTTTCAGATCGATATATATTCGAAACTGTTTGATTGTTTTGAACGTATTTATTTATTAGAAAAGAAAAAGTACGTGTCCGGTGCTTTAATTAACTGCCAGATGGACAGAAAGAAATTTTGTCAACCATATCCCAGGTTAGTGTGTATAATTTTTTGAATAGTAACCATCTTGATACGCAAAATTTATTGAAAAACAAAAAACGACTTAGGTACTCCCGCGACATTAACTGAGAAAACTCTACTAGTTTTAAGTAACAACGGGATTCTTACCTCACGAGCAGCACTATTTTCTCAGTTACTTTATTTACGGGAGTGTCATTTTTTGCAATAAATTTTGTGTGTACAATATTGCCTTTCAATATGTAGATACAAAAACTTTGAAAAAAAAACTTCTGAAAAAAATACATGCAGCTGATAGTAAGAATTGCTCTCAACATTTATACCTTCGTAATCTTACGTAAACAATAATATTTACAACAGTTATATGACATCAATCAACTAATCAAAAACTTGTCTATTGCTATCTCTTACTAACCCACAATAATAGAAAAGGACAACCATAGAA